CGGGAAAGAATTTCACAGGCTGTAAAAACTAATCTATGCAGCTATTTAGAGTAGATGGTTAAATATGTACTCAAAAAGCATGGTAAAGTCTGTCGTTAGCTGGTTACTCAGCTGTCAAACATTGCAAAAATAAGTGAAATTACGATGTATCTGGTTTTGCTGTTTCTTTCCCTTTAAACTGTAATACCTTCACTTTGTCTGGTTCTTTATTTTAAAAAGGTTTCAGTTTTAGTCTTAATTATTATGTGATAAAGGCAAATACTGTAAAGTCATTTAGAGCTGTTTGTAATTGTAAAATTGAACCAAAATAGGTGTCAACAGACTGTGATGAGCCTCGTTTTATTTAAGTCGCACTTAGCCAATGACTCAGCTGGACTGTTTCCTATTGGTTGATGACTATAAACTATAATCTAAACTAATAATCAGTTACTGATGGCTGGACTATTAATTATCGTGCATAAAATAAACTAGTAACTACGCAGCAGTGGGCGTTTGATATGGGGTGTTTACTGTCACAGTGTCTGCTGGTCGTGACATCCAGACTCAGGGCAGAGTAGAGGAAAATCAGTGAAGAGACTTGCTCTGGTATATGTAACACCTCTCTTTAGTCTGTTGTCACTTTCTAAACTTGTTCCAAATGTCAGCTCCTCTTTACCCCGGAGGTATGAAATAGCAAGGGTGTGTGCAAGTGAGTTAGAGAGAGAGAGGGAGAGGTAGAGATATGATGGTGTGGGAAAAAGGCTGCTCTGGGCTAACGGTTTCCTCTGGCCTCAGATGGAAACAGGCATTCGGCCAAATGACTTCATTCCAACCAGTGTTTCACATCCCAGCATCTTTGCTGGCCTGGAATCACAAAACACATCATCACTCCACTTACCATCTACAGTAACTGTGAATAACCCTTTATACTAACATAGTACTACAGTAAATATACCCATCAGCCATAAACGATAAAACCACTGACGGGTAAAGTGAATCTTATTGCGATGTTCTGCTGGGAAATCTTGAGTGCTGGCCTTCAGGTGTCAGGTTATACTTCTACCTAAACATTACTGCAGAACAAGCACACCCCAGTATGGCCCCAATGTGCCATAAATATCCAGATCTTGAGCGAGCATCTGCAGGACCCAAACATTCAGGCACCAGATGCCACATACTCCTAAACCATCTGGGTCCAGAGATGGGTAAGAGCTGCCTTGTGGCACAAGGGGAACCTCCGGAATAACAGGCTGGATGTATAATGTTTAATGTTTAGGCTAATAGGTGTATATTCTGTTGTACTACACTCCTGGTTTGGCAAACCCACATATTTCTTTATTTGGGCTCTTTTAGAGCATTTGTGATGTGATTTTAAAGATACGAAAAGTAGCTCTTCTATTTGTGGCACCTTCTTGACCCTTTTTATTGCAATCTTTTTATAGCGTTAATCACAAGATCATTCTATGAATGGAACAATTCATAAAAGTCCTTCCAAGGTGAACCACAGAGGAGATTCATCCACGGGTTTGCTGTTACCAGGCCTTGTTTGCTGAGACCATGTATACATGCTGGACTGGATACAGTCATTCATTCCACCATGGCATCCTTCAGTGCTGCAGAGCCTCACTGGCCGCCTGCCTGTTTAGAAACAAGGCAGCCGTCCAAGTCCTGCGTGCCCCGGCGTATAGACAAACCATCCCGCCTTTTTATTTTTAAACCAGATGTGTTTTTACTGGGTACAGTTTAGATTCCCCCGGCAATACAAATATGCTCTGTGTTGTTCAGAATCGAGGCTGCCAGCTTTCAGACGGGGGACCAGTTCCTGAATGGCTAGCTGTTTAGCAGACCTGCTAACTGCTGATTTGATAAATGTGTGATTTCTTCAACTGATTAAATGAGTGGCTGCTTTACTGGCTGAATCATTGTGCGTCTTGGTTTATATCGAGCATACTAACCACATCGCCTGCCACATTTATCCATGGTGCGTCTGTGAGGAAAAATAAACACATTTTTAATGTGCGCATGCCTCTGACTTTTTCCCTCCTTTTTTATTTCTCATCATTTTTATGGCCCTTAAATTGCTTCTTGGTAGCATATTGTTGCCTTTGAGTCGATGTTTTTCTCAGTGAAACAATCATAAAAATGACTTGTCCTTAAGCAAATCAATGATTTTTGTGCAAGCATTGTAGCTGCTCTGCAGTAGGCATGATGGAACTGAATTAGAACATATGAACTGAGAAGAGAAAGGAGTTGATGCTGTGACTGAAATCGAAAAGGCTTTTGTTTTGTCCAGACTGAGCTGTGTGCACTCACCTTTCATACCTTAGCCTGCAACACACTGCCAAAAATAAAGGAAATACAGCAGTAATATTTGAGTAATATTCGTGTATTAAAAGGAGGAATTTGCACACACTGTATAACTACTTCTTAGGTAAAGTATCCACTTCATACTTCATCATACTTAAGGGTTCAGTTCATTATATAATTAGTGCCAAAACACACTGTGGAGTATTAAAACACACAGAGCTGCTTCTCTCGCCTCGTTGAATTCTTTGTTCTGAAGTTGTCCTGCTGTTCCTGTCCTTTTTTTTTTTTTTTTCCTTTTTCCTTTTTTGCAATCTCTGGCAGTCATTTTACCTCTGACCAGAACCTTTGTATGCATTTATGTGTCCACGTTTGTCTGTGTTTGTGTGCGTGTGCTGGCGCCCTCTGTGACCAGCTAGTCTTTCCTCGTCAGCGTGTTTGTTCTCTCTCAGCGGGCTCTGTTTGATATCTGAACACAGCTGTGAGACACGAAGAAGAAGTCTGTGTGTTCTACGCATGCATCTGTGAATGTGGGGGATTCTGTTGTGTGCATGTGAGACTTGATGAGGGGTGGGGAAAGGAAGCATAAGTAAGTGTTTGTCATGTGGGTGCATGCATGCATGATGTAGGTGCCTGTACATGGGGCCGGTTGGTGTGCAATTAGTTGTCAGTGTCTTTGTCGGAATGCAAATGGGAAGATCAGACGTGCCACTCCCAGGCCTGGAAAACAGAGTGCAGTGTTTCTCTGCTTCTCAGTGGGCTCCTCAATAGATAGCACAGGGTTAGTTTTATAAAAGCTGAGATCAGCTCCCTCACCCTCAAAGCATTCTGGGGGTGGGTTGACCTTGTTAGTTGGCTAGGACTCACTTATCATTCTGTGTTATATGGGTTTTTTTGTTTTTGTTTTTTATTTCAGTCTCTCTTCTCTTTTTTTCCCCTGAGCATTATATGAAGTCTTGTTTAGCTATGACTTCTTTTCCTCTTTTTGTTTTTAATAGCCTCTTTTGTTACTTTGCTGCTTATGACTCTAACATTTGCGATGAAACGAAATGCCTGGCTTCTCCAGCGCATGTTGAAGTGCCTTTGGGCAGCATACTGAACCCCAGCGTGTGTGTACTTGACAGTTATGGGACGAGGAATTGGGAGGAGGCGTGATCGAGGTGAGTGCCTGGGGCCAGGCCTTAGCACATCCTTAAGTGTCTGAAGTAACTACTTGGACCACCACCAACAAGGAGGGGCCATCAGGGTTCAGTAACACTTGGATTGGGTGGCTGTCAAGGGCTCAGGCCCTCGCAGTCTGAACCTCAGTTGAAAAATCTTCTGCTTCCTTGGATGCTGGTCTGGAAGCTCTGGGATACTGTAATGGGCGTTTTTCAGCCTCTGCTTGTAATTGCAAGCAGATACTACTTCTACTTCTTACCTTTGGGAAAAAAAGCGAGACAAGCTGTTTTAGTCTGCTGCCTTTGTCTTTATTTCATGCGAAGTTAACTAGCTGCTAGCTAAACACAGACTTGATCTTATCGAACAAAATAAAAGTAAGTTGTTCCCCTTTTTTGTTTTTTCTACTCTGATCACTGGCCTGTCCATTTGAAGGTATTCAGTTTTTGCCATTACAGAACCACTTTTACTTGTATGATAAAAACTACAGCATCCATACAGTCACAGTGAATTAAGCTTGTGGGGGACAGCTGTCTTTGATTCCAACAATTCCTTCATCAGATGAACATTTGAGGTCTTTAGACTAGCGACCTGTTTATACTGTTCCTTCAGGTTTCTTTGCATGAATCTTAAAGTTTACAGGGTCATGCTAAAGCGTGTTGATCTGAGCTTGCTGGGGCTGGGAGTTAAATGTTAAAGTGAGGAGGAAGTTAAAGAAAAGAGGAAACAAATTATTGAAGCAGGTCGTACAAGCATCTTATAGAAGATGATATGTGTAAATGACAGTAGCTCCAGTTTACTTCAGAAAGCACTTGACCCTTTAAAAAAACTTCATTTTCAATCAGCATGAGGTTTGTAATTATCTGAAGCGTCTGGGTTTGCTAATCTGGCTTTGTTAATAAATTAGTAATCAGATTTTAGTTGCCTTGTGACTTTGCATGAACCACACATTGAAAGTCAAAGTTCATCATCTTTAGCTAGATATAATTGATGGAGTTCATTAAAACACAATGAGCTTCTCTCTGACTCTTAGTTTCACATTCAGTGCTGTCAGTCAAATCTGCACAGCTTCGTCCGAACTGTCGAATCTTTTGTGTTGCCTGCAAAGATGGGAGGGAGGGAGTCTGAGGCTTTTGTAGCTAAAACCAGCTCATATACACACACACAAATGCACACACACACACATATACACAGCTGTTGTAGAGACCACAGAGGAAGCGGAGCCACAGCGCTGCGTGTTCACAGCCAGCCACAGAGCTCTGACAGGCACTGCATGTGTGTGTGAGTTGGTGTCAGTGTGACTGTGAGCGCTGAAGGCTGAAAAAGTTGGATCTTTTCAGACAGTTCCTCGGGGGGGATGGAGATAGAGCCAGAGTGTAGTCACTAAATCCTGTGAATACTCTTAAGACCGCTGTTATAAAGGGTGTCTTATCGGTGCCTCCCATCCTGTGTTCGGAGGAACACTTCCTAACAGACATGCTGGTCTGCATCATTATTTCTTTGTGGGTGATGATCACATGTTGCTGAGAGTGATTCAGTGTCTTCCTGTTTCTCTGTAGATCCACCGAGACAGAGAGACGTCGTTCCATCAGCCTTGCAATACTCAGCACTCAGGTAAGAGTTACTGGCAGCTCCTGCTGCTCTAAATTTTCATGTCAAAATTGACAGAATGGGTATTTTTAATTTCTTAATGGTTATTTCTGTTATGACTTCTTCTTTGGTTCCTTTTGCAGCAATCTGCCTGACATGGGTACTTTGCTGTTAGCAAGAAATGTTTTGCTCTTGGGTCGTGTGTGGATTAGTGTTAGCACTGATTAAGCCTGTATCCTGTTTGAAGTGATACTATGTTTCTCTTTGGCCTGGTTAAAGTAGCACTGACATCAAGTAAGATTGTTACATTGTTTGAGACTTGAGAGCAGCAGTTTGTTTGTGAACTTGTGAAAGTAGCTTTTTCTTTCTCCTAGTTTGATCTACTCAGATGACCTAAAACACCAACTTTGACAAAGATAAGATTTTGCTGCCTGATATCGGTATTGTTAGAGCCCGATCTCGCTCTATTGTTTCTAGTCTGACATTAACAAAAAGTTTCCACTTACAAGCCAAATGGTTGAGTGGTTAACCTGTCACCCAGGACACGTGCCCAGGCTGCCTTTGCGCTCTAATATTCTTGAAACCACACTTTTAAGTGTCTAAGTCTGCTGACACTTGGAGATGTTATGAGGCTACTTTAAAAGGTTTTTAAGTAACATCATGCAAATGAGACTTTAAGTAGAAACATGGGCTTTTGACTTGGTGTGTTTTGCCAGCATGTGCACACACAGATGATAAAAAGTTAGATACGGAACAGATGGGGACGAGTGACCCTGATTGCTGTGAAAAGGGCCAGAACATGCACACTCTAATAAGATTTTCATCTCTGTATCAACAAGGGCTCATACCGATTTAGACGACTGCTGTTAGGAAAGAAACACTGAAAACCCAAATGAGAAGGAAGTGTCGTTATATAGTTCGTGTTGTCTGTGGGACTGTTGACCAATATAGGCTCGACTCACTGTGTATTATATTTGAATGTTAAATATAATTGTGCTTACAAATAAGGTGATGCTGTGCTTTATATTTCAGTAAAGTCCACAACAATATTTGGTGATATCCCAGTTGATCGTGTATGAAATTTCTGGAATTGACCCCATAAATCATTTAATGTTAGCGTAGGAACACTAGCTTTAAAGGCTTAGACAATTTCCTTCTAGAAGGAAGTTCCGCCACCAACTTGGTAACACGTCAGGGCAGTTATTTTGGCAGTTAACAGACAATGAGAGCCAAAGCTTTAATTTCAGTCGTCAACTTTATTAAGTACATTTTTACAGAATTGCTCGTATGGAGTCCCATCTCAGATATGTTAGAAATGCTTACAAAGTTTAGTTTCTCCAGAAGGTTTAACAACCTTGTTGTCCCTCCGTGTTGCACTTTTATTTCAAATGTACAAAGTTATATGACCCAGCAGCATCAGCAGTAAGATCATTTAGTATTTTCACTTGTGGTTAAAAATGTCTTGACATTGCATAGTTTTTAAAATTTATTTATGCCCACTTTTTAGCACGTCATTTATGCCTGGACCACAGTAGCAGTTTCCTCGAGCCACTCGGGAAGTGTAGCTGGGAAAAATATCAGCTCACTTGTCAGTGCAGCAAGTGGTTGATTGTTGCCATGGGGATATAGTTCACTCAGTATGGGCAATGACTGTAGGAGAAATATTAATGTGAAACATTTTGGATGTTGACACAGATATGTCTGAGTTTGGGCAACAGCCAAAGCAAGATAAGAAAAAGGGATTCTTTGACCTTCATAAGATGAGTCTGTCTGTAGGGAGACTGGTCTCAATAAAAAAAGACCAACAGATCGATGAGCTGGATCAGGCGGAGAACAAACTGCCTTTTATCTGCAGTAGAAAACAGATGAAACATCAGTGTGTGTGACAGGGGGAGAGAGGAAAAGAGGCTGAAATGGATGAGACATACTGAGGAAACAAAAAAAAGTCAAACATGGAAACAGAAGGGAGAAGAACCATGGGTGTCAAGTGGAAGTAAAAATGGAAGGGTGGGTGACGGTGGGATTTCCTCTGTTGCAGCTTGGATCAGTTGACATCACTTCCTTTTCTTCCTCATTAAGCCAGATGCTTTCTGCCCTCCCTTTCTTTCTCTCTGATAGTTATTTATTTAGTTAACTTGGCAACAGAGGGATGTAATCCATGTTTCAACCACTGCAAAAGTAGTTTTTTAAGTTGCTGCTTGAAATGATTTACTTGAATTTACTTACCAATTTCATTGAATGCTTTTGTAATATACATATAATGACCACTTTATTAATTACAGCCTACTCTCATGATGCCTGTGATATCCAGTCATATGTTGTTTGAATATCATTCAGGTCAACGTTGGTGTTGTAGTGGACTGTGTCAGACTGCTGTTTTTCATGAAAGGTGGTTTATATATGCAGCCCTCTGACTCAGTGCCTCATTGTCTCACTGCATTCAGTACTTTGGTTTAAACGTAGTGAAATCTTCAAAACTGGACGATGAGTTTAGCATGGTAGCATGCTATTCTCACATGATCATATTGGTAGGTGTAATACATAGCACTATCATTGTGAGATGGGAGATGTTGGCATCAACATGGCCTTGTAGAGCCAACAGAACAACTCGCTGTAGATTATTATTCTTATTGTGTAGGAACATTAATGGTGACTGGATGCTCCTTTCAGATAGAGGTCAAAATCAAAGTAGCTCACAGTATTTGTTTGGCTATAGAAGAAAAGTTCTCCATGATCTTTTGGTTTTTGGTGTCAAAGGTCAATGTGATTTTACTGACTGCAAAAACCTTCCAGGTGAAAGTCGATACTCAAACCTTCTTCAAAGTCAATATGCACAGTCTTACGCAACTGGACTGCAAAAATAGGGGTCAATCCAAAGTTTGGATACACTTGTACTAGTTCATTATTTTCATTGCATTCCATATGATAAGTAATCATAGTAATCAAATAACATCACCTGACGTCTTCAGTGACCCAGCTGAGCTTTTGTTGAACCAGGAAATTTGGTAATTTGGTACTTTGGTCCTAGCTTTTTTTCTTTTCTTTTTTTTTTAACTAAATATGCTCGACAGCTCAGTTAGAGGAAGACTAAGCTATGAATACACATTTACAGTGAATTAAAATGATTAGAAGTGGCACTGTAAAATTTCTCATTTATAAATATCATATAAATCTCATTGTTGTTCTGTTGCAAATTTAATTTGTTCAGAAAAATTTTTAAGTAATTATTACCTTTATAAGGAGTTTGTTGCAAAGGCTTCATGTTCACTCTGTGCTTTTGTGCATGTTATTTTATTTATTTATTTACTTACTTACTTTTTAATGTGTCTCAGATAATGATAATGAGGTGTTCCAACCTTTGACCTGTACTCTATATTTGTTTGGAAACTGAAACATTGGTTCTTAGTGAGAACCAGACCTTGTCAGATCTAATCTCTGTGTTGTCTGGAGACACCGTTGTCATCTTTACTTTTAAAGACCTGGGGGAAAAAAACAAAAAGGCATGCTAAACTTGCTAAGGAGTAATCTTGGTGCTAGACATTGTGTTTGTGTGAAGTAATGCAAATTTTCTGTTGGTTGAAAAGACCCTTGTGATACTGTTTTGCTGTGGATGATCAGGCAGCATTTAGCCATATTCTGTACATCTCTGTAGAAAAGACAGAATAAAGGACACTTAAAGGCAAACAAGCTACATAAATAGCAGTCAGTGTTCAGTGTGTGAATGGGTGGATGACTGAATGTAGTGTAAAGCGCTTTGGGGTCCTTAGGATCTAAGTAAAGCGCTATACAAATACAGGCCATTTACCATAATTTTAATAATTACACATTTATGCAAAACCTCAGTGACTGCAGACATTTCATTTGACTTGATCAGACATTAAAAGAAAAACAAAAAAGAACAGCTGAGGCTTCTTCTCGTGGCTGCAGAACATGTGCATTGTTGTGCTCTAGGGTGAATTATCCCATCATGCGTTTGGTACATGTTGTGGTGCATGTCTGCTGTGGTTTGCTAACATATGTTAAGTCATTGTTCTGCTTTAGAGCATTGTAGGTCGTGCAATACTTTTAGGTAAAGCCTTGTTCTGTTTATCGGAGCTCATTTCCCATATTTACAGGAATCATGCTGGATGTTTCTGCATGTGCCGTTTGGAAGGTTTGAATTGCCGTTTGTTTAATATCCTCTGTAAACTGTGTGCAGACAGATTTTTATCTCTGTGAAAAATAGGAGGCTATGTGGTAACATCCTCTACTCAGAAGTATGAGGACTTTGTCCTTTGCCCTTGCTGAATTTAAAAAAACGCATGTTTAATTTTGTAAACGTGTTGAAATGCAGATGGTGAAGTGATACCTGATTATGAACTGAACCAGTCTACAGACAAAGGTCACTCAAAGAAAAAGAAACAGCAAGATGATGGTGTATTTCGCAGGTAGTCTGATGCACTTTGATCAACTTTTAAGAAAGGTTAACTGGAATCTTCAACACCTCCTATGTGTAATAAATCAGCCCAGTTAGACAGAGAACCTTGTACACATTTAACATGAAAAAACACAGGACAAGGAAGTATAGGTCGAAGAAAATATAAATAAGATTTTATATGAAAGTTCTGATAAAATCTACACTTAGCTGAGATAAGTGTTTTTCCTAACAGGGAAAACTTGCAGAGAAGAATGTTTCTAACCCAACAGATTATTTTTTATCAATTTTTTTTGGTTACTATGCCGATTATTTCAGACTTGAAATTAGATTAGATTGTATCTACTTTTATATTTTTTTTAGCTGCACGTTACACTTATTTTTAACCCTTTGAATTTCCCGGAGGAACCCACCCGAGGGATTAATAAAGTTTCATCTAATCTAATCACTTCGGGGTGTTTTTACCTGCAGTTAAACTCAAATGATTTGAACTGCAGTAATCAAAAAGTAGTATACACTGCAGTATAAAGCTGCATTTCTTTAAATGTAAGGATTGTTTGAAAGGACTAAAGGGGCTCTTTATACCTTCTGCAAGAAACAAGGAAAGCTAGAACAGTTTGACATTCTTTTCTGCGTGCAGCTATACAAAAAACTGTCGCCGCCTACTGTAGACCAGTAGGTGGCAATACAGAAGAGTCCTTGACCAATCAGAAGTATTCATCGCTTCAAGCCCCATCCCCAAAGTTTCCATGCTTTGACAAAGTACTGCCTACCAAGTAGGGACTTGGGGGGTAAAATAATTTCCCCAGAGTTTAATTTAGACTCAGGTGTCTGCAGTGGAAATGCAGTTGAAATTCCTTCAAGAGTTTCTACTCTCAGGGGAAAGCTCCTGTGGTTAAAAAGTGACGTGTATCTCTGCAGTCAAGGCCAAGTTTTCTGTTTGTGTCTGCTGGTTTATGAATTTAGATTCATTTTTTAAAAAGCTAATAAAATGCTGAATCTGTATCAGATGTGTTCCCTCTGTTGCTCGCTAGGCAGACTGTTTACCTTCAGGAAACAAAATCCTCCTTTACTACAAGTGGACTTTAAATAGAAACCAAAAATCTTGTCCCCTGCATTTGTATATGCAGATCAATTTATAGAGATTGCATGAAAGGTGCAAAAAAGTGGATATGATATAATATATATAAAGTATATATATCTGACCTTCTTCACACTTGGCCAGCAGCCTCAACCACCCGTCGACTCATGAGCAACTTTTACACCTGTTCTCTGAGCCTTTTCTATGTGTGCTGTGGTAGTGGTGTTGGGGTCTGTTTGACACAGAGGGAGGAGGACAGCTGTCAAAACTCACAGTCCCCTGCTAGTTGTGACAGACAGCTGTGAGGGGGGTGGAGTCTGAGGAAAACTCCCTGAATCCACTTGTGTCACCAGCACTTGCAACTCCAACATTCTCACGCACGTTCATTTTTGGATTGTCTGCTAATAGCGGAAATATGACGTAAAAAGGGGCAAAATGTTTTTGCATCGAGCCACCAATGCACTGTGGTCAAGACTAAGCTCTGTTGCAGCAGTTGAGGTCAAAGGTCAGTGTGGATTTGGTATCTTAACTGAAAAGATCTGGTGATGTCATGATATGGCAGCCTTCCCCTTTAATGTTTTCTGCATGTTGTCTACATGTTGTAGTATGAGCGAGCAGGATGTGGTTTGCCCAGTTGTCAGTTGTCATGCAGGAACACGTTGGTAATAACTAAGCTTGTGACCTTGTTTCTTCTCAAAGCAGAAACCAGAAATAATCCTGCGCCTGTCATGTTGTGGTGTCTGCTGCAGGACTCATAAAGCAGTGTTGATGCAAATATGGAAACTTTAATTTCCCAAATATGATTTAAACTGCTGACTCCTTTGATTACAAAGTTTCGATTGAGACTTCATGAACTCTTTCAAGTGCTCTAATGAGGAATGATTATTTTCTATAGTAGTGATACTCAAATCTGTGCTGTATTACGCAGTTGAGTTCCATCTTTAGTTCAGCCTCTCAGCGCAGGAATGTGCTAATTAGCGAAAACAACTTGTCAGTGTCTGAAAAAACATATGGACTTTTGCTGCTCAATAAGTACTTGAAGCAGCTTATTTATCTGATATTTTCATGTTTTTGGATTGTTTGTGTCAGGCTCAGACTATTTTAGATAGAAGTGACAGAACCATTGTGTAAGAATTTACAATTAAGGAAGTCTCACAATCTTTATGTCAGGATAGCACCTACCTTTGTCCATTGTGACACACTATTCAGTGGTATCACTCGACCCAAAGTGGTGATGTCCCATTGGCGTTGTAATTGGGCTGATCGAAACATTATGAAACCATAATGTTTGTCGGTGCTGTGATCTGACTACCCTCCTTTCATTAAGAGCTGACTGTGTCGACCTGCTCTCTCTGCGATGTTTGTTAAAGGAGCTCATGGTTATTCTGCAGAAAAATTGTATACCCCCACTCCCTCAAGTCTAACAACACTATGATGTAAAGAGACTCCCCACCCCTGATGGGTGCTGAATTTTATAGGGTTATGTTTCTGCCAGCTTCAGGATTCCTCGAGCCATCCTTTGCTGGTGTTGCTTAATTAATCTACTTTTATTTTTAGTCTTGATTTTGGCTGTGAATAATTATGAAAAACAAGATAATCTGCTTCTGCTTTTGGGTTGTGCTGAATACAGGGCATGCTTTATTTTAAATATGCCCTTTTCTGTGGCATGTTTAGTTCAGTTTACATTTATTTATAGATTTGTATTTCTCCACTTGAATTATATCTCATGTATGAGGCATCTACTTGTACCCACTCAGCGACACAGAATCCAGGCTCTTGAAGCATGAGCACATACATACGTATACAAAATCTAGCTTCCTCTTGCTCACATGAGTGTAGGGGATGCAAGTCTTCCCGGGGGATTAAGAATGACTTCCGGTTTTTGAGCAGAAATAGATATTTAAAAAAAAATCATAACAACACTGAGCAAATGATCTCATGCAGTTTTTCTTGGCTGCTGGCTAAAGTCAGCCCATTGGTAGATGTCTGTGCCTGAGTACAGGCTTCCTCTTTTAGTTTGGCCTGGAATATTATCTGTGCATGTCCTTACATGTCCAAAAAGCTGTAGCCCCAGAACCTTGTTGCATAACAGTTGTTGTATTCTGTGCTGACTTTAGATTTGGCTGTTTGTAATTCAGTGAGATAGAATAGTGGGTGTAAAGTAAAAATGGCTTGTGGTGAGCTGCTACGGGTAAAGAGCACAGAGACTTACTGAGAAAAACTAACGTGGCATCAGCCGAGGCCTGAGAGCGACTACTTTAAGTAGTCATTATTTAAGTAGTCAGTGTGATACACGTGATTCTGACTTATTATAGTTCATATCATTGTGGCTGATATGAACTCGAGTAACTGTCTGCTTGATGTCTGTAATTTCTATCGATCAAGCAACAGAAGTAAAAAATTACTTCTTGCTTTAAAGCTTAAAATAAGGTGCAGACATTCTTTGTAAGCATCAGTGTCCATTTGGCCTTAGGGTGACTAATGCAGCTCTTTCATGAAAGCAGTTTTTCAGTACTTCAATAACCGTTTACGTTGTCTTTCTCCGAGTCAGATTTTAACTTCAGTTCCGCCCTGGTACCTTTATGAAACCCACAAACACTGGTTGTTTGCAGTCGAGCACAGACCGCTTTGGTGAGGACAGTCAGCCATTGATCCACCAGGCTTTTCACACCTTCTCAGATTCCCACAAGTCTTTTCACTGATGTCTTACAGACCTGCTTGTGTTTTAGAACAAAGAATGAAGACTTATTGTTTTGGAAACAAGGTGTGTGTGTGTGGGGGGGTCAGTTTAACAGCCTCTGTTGAGAAACTTATCAGTGAATGTATTTTAAATCTGATTTCACAAGAATGCTTCGTTTCTCCTCTGTTCGATTTTAACCCTGCGATGTGTTAAATGTCGTGTCTTTCAGGATCCTCAGAGTCTTCAACATTTTCCAGTTTGCCCAGTAGGACCAGCAGTGCCACCAGCTGCCCCTCTTCAGCTCACAGAGACTCTGGCAGTGACATAGAGAGCTTCCTGAACACAGAACCCGGATATGACAGCATCTTCAGAAAGGTCTGACCCCCATCAACTTCAAATCAATGTTAAAGTGCTCAAAAACAATTCCTTTAAACTGGTTTAATTATCTGTGCAAAGTGAGAAAAGCAAATGAGGACAAATCTGTGAAAAAATATATATTTAAAAATGTAAACAAAAACATTTCCACTATATATGCTGTAGAATGAACTTCTTACACATCCAAACTGCAAACACATCAATCATTAAATGTATAAATGAGGAAAAATGTAGCAGCCAATTCCCTGTTTACTAAATCCTTGGCTGGCTGTGGTCCAAACATCCGGTTCAGTCGCGCTGAACACCAAGAATATATTTTGCCTCTGCAACTATTCCTATAGGGATTATATACTATATATGAAGTATCTATTTTCTCAGTCTGTGTCTGTTTTTTTATTTATTAGTACCCTGAGGCAGAGATGCCAAACATCTACTAAGCATCTTTTTAAGCCGGCAGCTCTCCTCCGCTGCTGGGAAAGTGCAAGCTGTGGTCCCTGCTGTCACTCTGCTGCTGTTGAAAGTCTGTTTGAAGCCAGGCACCCTTTGGTTAAAGTTGAAACACTTGTATCTCTCAGTTTCTGCTGTGTTGAGCACTTGAAACATGCTCATTGTAATGTGAACCGTATGTCATGTTTGGTGCAAACAAAGCCAGAGAAGAGAATATCAGCTGCCTGGGAGTATACAGTGTGGTGCTGAGGGTTGGGACACTGTAGATAGGCCGTGATGGGCAAAATGAATCCGCACAAAGACTACAGGAGCTAAATTCTGAAAGAGAGGATTAACGTCTTTGCTGCTCTCTGAAGGGAAACGCTTCTTTTGTGAAATGTAATACTGTAAATGTAGAATAAAGAGGACATAGACGGTTTCAACAGTCGTGACTTATCTGAGTTTAACATGTATGTTGTGCCATCAGATAACATTTAAAATCCTGAAATAAAACAAAGTTTAAAACTCAGCTGGGTCCTTCTCTTATAGCGCTGAAGCTGACGTTCACATGCACTCTCTGCCCTTGATGTATGCTCATGCGTTGTCCGACTCCCAGAGGAAGTTGTGTTTGCAGCATAAAGCAGATCTTTCATTCGCAGCTCTCCGACAGAAGCAGCTCTATGCTCGGCCCTCACACTGCAGCTGGCAGCACAATAGACCCAGTTAAAGCTCACACCTACAAATTAACTCTAAATGGACTATCCCAAACCTGTGTGTGTGCGTGCGTGTGTGTGTGTGTGGGCAGTAGTTTTTTCCCACCATTCCCAAAGAGTGGTTTTACTAAAACTATTTGTTTTCCTCGTGCTTCTTATATTATAGAGCTGTCAGGTGAAGACTTGTCAAGAAATCAGCAAACTATACACAGGCATATGGCTAATTAACTTGCAAGAATACATATTAGTTTACACATATGCGGTGTACGTACACTTTATATTTGCCAACTGCTAACTGCCAACTGTCTGTGGATTTGGATCACTAAAATGGTCCTGTGACAATGACAAATGGACTTTAAAAAGACTATATATCACTAAGAAGTGTTTTCCTGGGAAAGGTTTGTTTTAACAAGGTTGCTATCATTTATTGGTGTTTGTTATAATGCCAGTGTTGCTATAAAGTGGCGCTGGCTCATTATCCCTAAGCCATGCCATTTGGTCCTCATTATATTCCATTCCTGTGGGTTAAATGGCTCTTCAGCTTACTCTTAATTCATCTCATGCCTCAGTGAAGAAATGCTGATGGATATACAATGTGATAGCCCGAGTAATTAACAATGATTTCAAGGACATCTGTTTTGCTGTGTTATGTTTTATTCATATTTATTATGCTGTGTTGGAGTGCCCTTTTTTTCCTGTTCTGTTACATTCTGCCCTTAAACTGCAGGTGTAATAAAATGGCAAAATCACATTATGGATCTTAAATAGTCTCCTGTTATTGGGGTTGTGTGGTCCTCCATATAGAAAACACTACGCTACTTCCAGATGAACAGAATTAACCTTTTGGGTCCTTCATATAGTCCTATTGTTCCCTTGTAGGATTGTAGGATACCATCACCGTCACCAAGGCCAGGGTTAATGTAAGGTGGTGCTATCCACTCTGTGTAATGTGTACCATGTGACCCAAGCAAAAATAGAACCAGCCAGTGAGAGGGCAGGAGAGCTTTGTTCACTTACAATAAATGATTTAGCTTTATGCACTTAGGGACCATAAATGGATAGATATCAGCTGAGCAGCTGTTGAGACATAGCGTCTGCAGGCTTTTTTGTGGGATTTTTTTGCCGTTGATTATCACTAATTCCTCAAGTTGTCATCCACAACCTTGCCTCACAATAGCTTAGTAAGCACACACATGTTCTCACGCTCCACTTCCTGTGGTTCTCAGAGCAGAGCCAGACTCTTCACACTTTCAGTTACTGTTCACGGTTCACAAGCTCATTACTTGATTAAGCCTAGAAATTAATACTTTACGTGGAAACAGTTGCATTTACATGTGTCCGCGCTCCCTAAAATAATAAATCAACATTTTAGTAGTGTGGCATTGACTTCATATAGTGCTGATTTAGCATACTGGCTCATGATGAACCATAACTTTTTGATGGTACAGTAATGCTTTAAAGTAGTGTAAAGTTATACCTTTTCTCTTTTTGGGATGTCTTTCAGAATGATGAACCTGTGACTGGAGGAGACAGTGCCAGCGAGGTTTCGGTCTCCTGCTCTTCCACAGACGACACCGCCAGCGTCGGCCCGACCAGCTCCAGCCCGGAGGGCAGCCAGGGCCTGGGCTGCAGCTGGAGTCCAGAAGAGGGCATCCAGACCGTGGCACCTACCACTGAAGGACTGGACAGTGAAGGTGGAGAAGGAGGAGGGGCAGGAGAGGCTGAAGAAGAGGCCAAAGATAGAGTAACTGAGGTGCCGCGGCGTTCCTGTCTCTTTCGTAACAGCAACCGTTCCCTGTCACCTCTTCGCCGCCACAGCTGGGGTCCTGGAAAGAACAACGGAGGAGACGGAGAGATGAACCAGAGGAGGTGAGAGTGATGAATACTGGGTTCTTCAGGATGAATAATGTCTAATTGCATTGTTGATGAAGTGGATGTAGAAATAGAAATGTTTCTCCTCCGTCCTAGATACTGGCTGCTGGTGTTAATCTGGTGTTAGTCAGTAGATGTCAGCAGACTTGATGTGTGCCTCTTTCAGCATTATTAGAGCTTGTTGATGTCAGTCCTTCTGTGCCATGTTGAGTGTTTCCTCTTCATGCTGTGAGCAGCTGTGTTGCCATTTGTCTTGCGTTGGCAGGGAGCTTCCAAAATTGTACACACAGATGCTTATAAACAAATGCACAGATACGCACTTCAACATGAACACATGTTCTCACGCTTTCACATTCAGAGCCACACTGTACAGTTGTCACGAGTCGACAACAAGATTATTTCACAAACATCGGTTCAATAGAAAGGCTAACAGTGACGTTTAGAACGGGACTCTTAACGCTGTTTTGTCATCACTGCTCAAACGATTGGCTCTTAGCGATGGTCTGTAGAGGAATTTACATGCAAGTTTCTTTTTAATATCCCCTGTCTTATTAAGTTTTTCCTTTTGACAGTAGTGTATATTTCATATGTGCATCTGTGTGTTAAAGCCTGACGATACTGGAGACCATTACTCATTCACAGGGAGTCTAAAAGAAATCCATTAATCATATATTGGCCATTGTTTTTAGTATATGGCAAATGGCCAGGTACTTGTATAGCACTCTTCTACTCTGAGTACTCAAAACGTTTTTTACTACAATCCTTATTCACACAAGTACTTTTTTCTTATACCTTACGTCTTACGTTTGTGCACATGCTCACGCTCCGATGGATGCACTGGGGCAACTCCGGTTCATTATGCCCAAGGATATTTCAAGATGCAGATTAGAGTAGCTGGGGATTGAACCACCGGCCTTTCAGTTATTAAGTAACCTGTGCTGCCTCATGAGCCACAGAGCTTAGATGTATATGTATGCAGGCATTGTTTTACAGCAACTTTTGATATCATTATTTACTTTTTAGATAAAATTATTTATTTCAAAAGTTAGGCAGCAACTTAATGTAAAAATGCCTCTTGCCTGCATCACCATCTGCTCAACTGTGATACAACTCTGCAATGTATTGGTGGCAGTTTTCCCGCTTTAAGTGAAACTTTAGAGCATTTCTATCCCACAAACGGAGACATGTCACACATTGTGATAGGCTCTAGCTTCCAAACACTGAAGGACAGTGTTTGGAAGTCTGGCCTATACCGGATGGCCATGAAGAAAGCATGCATGGTTAATATGCTGTCTTGTTTTGCTACCCAGATTTCCTGATCATAATAAAGTCAAAAGCTAGGCTCATTTCTCCAGCTTTGCTAAGTAACTCAAATCATATCATATCATATCATATCATTATAGATCAACCTAAATAAGGACCAGTCACATAGAAGCCTACTGACTCGCTAAGTAAAATCATAAAGAGGGTACTGCGACCTCCTCTAGTCAACATGTAATAGTGGATTAACAGGTGTTATTAAAGGAGGGAAACCCTCCAAAAAACGGACGGAGCAGCGGAGCAGCCAAGGGAACAGAACGATATAAAAACTGTATCACTAAAATATAAGTTATTATACAAAAACAGTTAAAAATTTAAAAGCAATTAAAACAACCCTGGCCAGGGAGAACACACAGTAAAAATCAAAATAAAACATAAACACACTAAAAGTCCAGTGGAGTCAGCCACGGCGTTAAAATCCAGCAAAATCGGAGCGGGCAAGGAAAACCCGGCGGCGTCCCCGGCCGTCCTGTCAGTCTCTCTGATCCGGAGTGCCCGGATGGGCAGAGCTCCTAACTCTGCCCGCCGCTTTTCTGCGGCACGCCAGCACTATGGTCTCACCGTCGGAGGTAGGGCGCTGTCCCACTCCAAACTAATCCCCCACCACAGTGTCCTCTGGCCTCAAGCTATTCCAGCAGCAGCACAGCTCTCACTGCTTCTCTACGCACTGGCCGTCATATGCCCTCGCCACGTACTGCACACCAACGCCGCCCTCTGCTTGCGGCCGCCGCCGCTGCCTGCCAGCATCTACTCCGCCATCTCTGCTGCCCTGCTTCTCCTGACCGGCTAGGCACTCTTATTGGGCCTCTGTGACCTCCCAGGTGTGCCAAGTTTGTAATCAGGGAGGGGTATAGTCTCTCCAGGACAATTCAACAATAAATAAAATAAAAGCATGCAATAAAACAAGAATAAAACACTATACAATATTAAAATATTAGCAATAATAAAACACAGCAACTCATGCGAGATAAAAATCTAGTTAACTTGTCCATTTCCACCCCGTGACAAACACAAACCCAAAATGGAGAATGTTTACCTTGAAAGTAAAAGTCGTGGCTTACCATTTCACAAGGTGCAAATTGATTCTTCTATGCAAACTACAGGAAACCGTGGCAATCTGCTAGCAAACAAAACAATTGCAAGGAGGTTTTTCTTTAGTGCAGCACCATATACGTCGTTGCAACTTGCAACAGTAACCGCTCCAGCAAACACTCGCCAGCCTGTCAGGGAATACACATTTTTCCCTATAAACAAAGGTTACCAGGGGGTTTGCCTGTGTGTGAGTGGGGTCTAGGACACATATTTTTTTTAAAAAGACAAAATAAATGTAATGAGATTTTAAATTATGAGAAAAACAAGATTTCGGAATGTCTCATATAGTGTTTGGTGACATTTTAAAGTAACAGTCTAGCATTTGGTAATTATGCTTATTTGGTTGCCAAAGATTATTAGGAATCCACAATAAAAGTGACATGAGTGTTGCATAAGCCCTACTGAAGCATTTGATCTGTTCAGTCCACACAAACTCCATCCTCAGACAGAGATGCCAAACAGATGTCTGTCAGCACAGAGGAGCTGAAAGGAGCAGCTGGTCTAAACAGAAGTTTACTGGATAAAGGCAGCTTTCATGTGGTCGCAGCAGGAAGGAATCATCGATACTTTTAGATACAGTGTGGTATTATGGTGCGTTATGTTCGTCAAGTTCAGTAAATTTGTTTGGTTTAAACAGCTGTCTGTGGAGACATCATGCACCACAAAGTGTGCCTGAAAAAATTGACTTAAAGTGTGAAGCAAACAAACGAAAACATGGGGCACCACAGATGCATTCCTCAGAGTCTCTGCCGATGATACAGAGTCCTTCTTCTGATAGATTTGAAAGAATGAAAATCTGTCTAATTTCTGAGGTGGACAAGTAACCGACTGCAGAAAACTCTTTGAAATGTGAAGTGGCCTTCAAAATAGTGTTACCATTAAAAATCGGGAGGCTGTTATCATAGTTTAGCACAGACTGGAAATAAAGCCTGGTAATAGGGTACCAGTGCGCCCACACTACTCTTAACTCCTCCGGTACCAGCAACTCTAAAGTTCACTAATTAGAGGATAGGTTATCTTGCTAAATGGTATCACAGGGGATGAATGCACAAGGATAATTCTTGTCGGAATCCAGTAACATCCTTTAAAGTTGACTTCAGAGGTTGTCCACTGACCAGCAGAGACTCTGTCCTTCATGTGGTTATGATACAAATAGGGTTTCTGCTCACAATACTCAACTGGAACTCTAACTTTGAATCCCAAACATTTTGTTTGACAAATTTCTGTCTATTGAGTGTTTCAATTCATGCTGTGTTATTATCAGTTGATTAGAAGATGTACAGTTCCACGAAAAAGAACATTTTCACAGGATTCTGTGCAGTCATGTGAAAAATAAAGTACACCTTTATTGCTTTCATACAAATTAAGAGGGAATGTAGCAGGTATGTGCTGATATTCCAATACACTGGCTTCACTAGTCATCAGCAAGTGTGAAAACCTCTATAAAAGCTCAAGTTTTAAGAATCTTCCGACCTTCCAGTAAATTCACACCAAAGTCAGACCCTGCAATGCCACAAACAGAAGAATGACATCAGACTCTGCAGGCCTCAGTTGGCCTTTTAAATGTTAAATTTCATGGAAGTACAGACAAAAAAAGACTTCTTTGCCAGGACAAAGCTTAAAAAGAATATGAAGCACAACTTGGCTTTGTAAAATTGCATCTGAATAAACCACAAGACGTCTGAAACATTGTCCTTTAGACAGATGAGGTCAAAGTGGAAATGTTTGATAATAATTCACAGCTCTATTTTTGGGGAAAGCCAAACGCAGCATATCAGCACAAACACCTCATACCTGCTGTCAATCACTGTGGTGCAGGGGTGATGATTCAGTGCTTTCCTGTTTTTACTTTTTTTTCTTTGGGCACCTTCATTTGCAATCACTAATGTCCACAAACCTCAATGAACTGAAACAATGTTATAGAGAAAAGTTGGCCAGACTTCCTCCACTAAAAAATGTGAGAGACTGATGTGTGATGACTCATACATGAAATGATTACTTCAACTTAGAGCTGCTAAAGGTGCTTCTACAAGCTGCTGAATGATGAGATGCAAGCTTTCGCCTGTGGAAACTTTAGTTTGTACCAGCAATCTCACTGTGAGGTGGGAACACTAAACATCATTTTGAAACTATGAGCAAAGATATCACCACAATTATTTCATGCTTATCATCTTTCATCATTTACTCTGAGTACAGCAGTCTGATCACTCTTGTCTTCTCTTAGATCATTACCTATACAGTAGTAGCCATAAAAATCCAATGGTCCCATCGGCAATAAGAACAGTTCGTTGATTAATTATTTTCTTGCTGTCATGGCTTCCGTTCAAATCCCACTTCATTTCCACCTTCATCCACAACTCTGTCTCTGTCTCCGTCTCCATCACCTCCAGTTCCACTCGTAGCTCTGGTGAGAGGAAGCCGGCCTTTCACAGGAGAAGGTATTAATACATCACATTCATCAGTTCATGTTTTGTTAAGCTTGCCCTGCTTTTTAGTGGCATGCTATGGCAAATTTATGCAGTCGTGCCCTTTGTGGACCTCCCGGCTTTTAATGTATGCTTGCTGAACTGCTGTTGCATTCTCTCCGTCCCTGCAGGCAACTGCTCTGAAAAATGCTGCTCTCTTTTCACCCCTGTTGGAGTTTGTATGAAATACTGTGGCAAATGGGTGGTGGTGGCACCGCTGTTTTGTATTGCATCGGTAATAACAAGCAGCCACACAGAAAGGGAGGAGTTTAGCTCCTCTCTTTCTGGAGGCTGAACTGCATTGGCTAGAGTTTTAGAACATACGATTGTTTTTGTTTTTGTTTTATTTTGTGGGTTTAATAACTTCCTGTAGAGAATTATTCAAAACTCTAAAACATCAGAAGACAGAAGACAGTGGGCTGCAGCAGTAAAAACAGAATGCAAGTTGTTCTCACTGCAAAATAGCTTTGTTGACTGTATGAAATGTTGCTCTTTGACCCAGAAGGAGGAGGGAGGAAGCAGTGGAAAAAAAAGAGTCAGCATCTTTCACTTGATCTTGATTATATGCAGAATAGATCTATTTCAGCTCTGCTGGGTGAGCCGAATGCTTACACTCCTACTCAGAAAGTCTGTTGGATATGAAAATGTTTGACAACAGTGTCTGAAAACGCTAAAAGGCTTCTTTAGTAAGACACATCTGAAGTGTGTCGTGGTTATTGTAGTTAATTAAACCGAAAACTAAGCTAGGAGTGGAAAAACTTCTTCAGTTAAATAAAATAAAAATAAAACTAGGCTGTAAATAGTAATATATATGAAGCGATATTTTGCACTAATGACTAAAGGCTAATTAGAATTAGGTATTTATATTTTAATAACTGGTGTAAACATGTCAACTCTTTCTCCTGATTATTATCCTTTTAATAAGGTCATCAAAATGAGTTAAAGTAAGACTCAAACTAAAATGTAACATTTTTAATAAAAACTTACTAAAAAAAAAAATCTAACTGAAAATAAGTTTGTTCAGGAATGGTGTAGAGAGCTTCTTGGTGATAAAAGACCGGTTCATGGTGTAGATTAGCGTTGTCAAACTCATTTTAGTCCATACAGTCCAATTTGATCTCAAACGGCAGGGACCGGTAAAGGCCATTTTATATTAACCTATGGAAAGATATAAACGTTTTCCTCTTTCTTTTAATATAAAGAGGTACAAACATATTCTGAAAATGTTAACAACTATTTACCAAGATGAAAGTGTCCTGTTCAAAAAGAAGGTGCAATTTGTCTGCTCTCATTAAAAACAAACACATCTGGACAGCTCCTTAGGCAAACCACCGCTTCGCTGTATTTATGAGTAACAAGGCTTTAAGACTGACAATGATTCACTCTCATTAGGTGATTCATTCTTACACTGAAAAGTACAAATATTAAGCCCTTCATCTCTGAAGTATTCACGGCTATCCAGTGGACTGGACTCTTTGTTGGGCTAGTTTGACTGAGTTTGACCAAAGTGCTCCACAAGTTAGTTAATGAACAAGAGAAAAAAACAGAAAAATAAATACAGAAAATAAAACATGAAATGAAGTTAATACAATATATTTAACATAAACAAAAACCAATATCTATACCCACCGCTAGCACTAGTGTCTTCCACACTTGTGCTAGTTTTAATTAGATGCATAATCACACAATCACAATCAGGGTTAAACATTACTTATATTTTTGACTTCAGTATATATTAACGACTCCTTGGTCCACAGACTGTAGTATTTCTGACCTCCAGATTCTCATCACTTGCTGGCTGACATGTATTTTAATACAGATATATCAATGCTTACTAGCTAATAATGGCCAATAATATCACCCCTCCTCCATCTCTGTCAAGTTGTAATGAAGACAAGTCTGTTATTGTCACAGTCCACTGCTGTAACCATCTGGTCACATCTGTCACGTTCAAGAAGCCAGCGGCCACCCTAGCAGCGGCTCCAGCTGTGTTAATGGTGCCTTGGCTATTCTGCCAGTTTTTCATTTCTGGGAAACACCCTGGGTTCAACTTGATTTCCTGTCTGCTACTGATATTACAACAACGCTGCAGCAGGAAATCAGCTTTAACCCATTTGCAATGTTTATGCTTCACGATGTAAAGTACATCCACTCTGCCCAGTTATTTCAGAATAACGCCAGTGTTCTCAGATACGCCTGCAACTCTATCCTCATGTCCTCATCTGTGTGCTTCACTGCCACTCTGCCATACTCTCTTATCAATCTTCCCATCACTCTCCTAACCTCTTTCACCTCACTTTCTCTTAGTATCAGCATGTGCCCCCGCCCCCTCGCCATTGGCTACAGTGTGGAAGTTGTTTCCTCAGGTTTACTGCATTACTGTGTTTGTGATGTTTTCTTATTTGCCGAGGGCACATGTCCTTATTTGAACATGGAATATTTACATGCTGCTTGATTTGCATTAGCCGTTGTGGGTGTTTTCGTGTGTATATGAATGCCCAACCCTTTCAGTCAGCAACCTTCTACACCAAGGAGAGAGAGGGAGCTGAAATAGCTGCTAGTGTTTGAGCATGGAGGGCCCTGTGGCTCTGTAGAATAGTATGTAATAATACTGCCACCAAGGAGGCCTTAGTATGACAGATATAGCCATCTACATTCACAGCCCTGAGGATAGGTGAGTGCTGCTCCACTCTGGACACTTATAATCACCAAATCATGATTCTTTTACTCTGGTTTTAGTTAGTGAAGCTTGGATGAGTTGGACTGATGATTTGCTGGATAATGGAGTAGCATACAAACCCATGGGCCGGAGATGAGAGATTTACTGCTGGAGCTTTAACTATCATAGAGTCTGTCCTGAAGCGAATAGAGCTGCAGCCTCGTGGCATAGCTCATCCTGAAATGTAGCAGTAGTTTTCCTCTCCATAATCATTGGATTGGATTTTTCAAGGCCTCTTATTTCCAGTCATAGCTCGATGTAATTGGGTTTGTAAATCACAGCTGCAGAGCTCTCCATGCTGATGCTGATGTTGGGAGTCATTTGCAGCTGCTTCAGCTGTAAATCTGCTCCATAGGCTAGTGATAACTCAGCTGGCTAAACACAGTGTAGGACCAGCTCTGTGTGTGTGTGTGTGTGTGTGTGTGTGTGTGTGTGTGTGTGTGTGTGTGTGTCAGTCAACAGGTACATCTTTGTGTGTTTGTGTTTGCTGCAGCGACAGTTGTGTACATTCAGAAAGCTGTGATTGTGATTGATGTGATTGTGTTCAATACAGTGTGTGTTCTTTTATTGAGGTCATCTCTGCTTTCTGTTTGTACACAGTTACAGCTTGGAGGGGCTCAGTGGAGGCCCTGAAGAGCTCAGGGGCCCCACCAGCCAGGGGCCCCGTATCCTAGAACCTATAAGGATTCCCCGGCAAGACAGCGATGACAGAGGCTCTTTGGTTTCTCTGACAGAGGAACAGGAGGACCGGGGGGAGTATAGCAGAGTGCATGACCCGGTGAGCTAATAAACACACTCACACATGAAGTTTGTTGATATGTTGCCACTTCTTTACACTGTCACACAGTCGGCCACCAAGAGATCCTGAAAAACCCACACAGCCTAATTCACGAGAGAAAAGAGTCGTTGTAAAGCTTGTACATAAACAAGACTTATAAACAGTCAAGGGAAATCTGAGCCTTGTCAGTTTGGGGATTAGTGAGAATTAATAAACATGACTTTCTTCGGGCAGATTTATACTTCTCCCATTGAATTTAAAACAAATTGTAAACATAATGTCCCGATTCAAAATGCCGAGTTTCCTCTTTTAGTTCATGTTCCTGTTTCCAGTTGACTGGCTGGCAATGCTTTGTTCCACATTATCGCTGCCTGGCTCACTCCATTTTTTTTAACATTTTCATGCACTTGGTTTCATTCAGTCTCCTGTCTCTTGCTGCAGAAATCCAGACGATATCGGCCCCTGCGAAACAGCTGTCCTCCCATGAGTCTGCCCCTCACTAAGTCTGTATCTATGCTGGCCATCAGCCAGAGAGACATCGATGGTGAGTGACACGTTATGAGGCAGCTATCAAGTCCCTTCTTGTAACATTCAGCCCTTTTCTTCACCTTTTTATCCTTTGGTTTTCTTTGTTATCCTCTTTAGGCTTTAACTTACTAAATTTAAGTACAATGCCAAGTCCTCATTCTTCATTTCCTCATTTTAACATCACCAGACTCAGCAGAGGGACACAATCATTTCAGCTTGTAATTGGAAATTTAGAGTTCATTATGTTTTTCACTGTAAGCCCCATCGCAAAGAGAATAGAAAAAAAGGTCAAAAAGCTAGATAAGGAGAGAAAGTGGTAGTTTAACATGCAGATATTTAAACTGAATCGCTCTTACTACACGTTTCCCGTACATCTCCACTTCCTGCCCCCATCCTCACTATTATTAGGTTATTATATATTTCAATAAGTGATCAGTGCCTGTTGTGGTTCTTTCCTTCCTGCTCCCCAGCGGTGGGACGCCTGAGACGTAAGAGGCGAATTTCCTTCTCTTTCAACCTTTCCCCCATCCTCACCAAATCTAAGTCTCAGTTCATTTATGGGGACTCCTCATCTAGTGATGATGAGGATGACTTCAGTAAGTACTGACATGTAAACTTAGCTGCAGTAGAAAATAGCTGTGATGTCAGAAGGAGAACAGTAGCTGCTCCGGTTAGCAACCTGGATCTGAGCTGCAAAGATGACAGCGATGCACCCAGATCAGCCAGCAGCTAGCCTGATACCCACACTGAAGTGTTTACTTGTGACTCAACATGAAGTGTGTGCGTGAAATGCTTCCTAGACTGAGTCAAACAGAAGAAGCAAAGTTGTCTGAAGGAAAATTAAAATTTTTACTCTTTAAACTTCATCAAAGATAAAGTCCAAACATTCAGCCGCAACAATCTTGTCATGAAGAAGCTTCTAATTGCTGCTGATATTAATCTACTTGCAGTGTGAGAATGCAATTAGACAACGCTTGTAGCCAGATTGCTAGTGTAGAAAATCACCTTTCGCCTAGGCAGCATTGTGTTTAAATTATAATCCATGTTGACAGCAATAAATAAGACCTTGGCTTCTCGTGTTTCCTACGCAGCACAAGAATCGGATGACCTTTACATAAACTAGCTTTACTTCAGTCTTTTTGAAAAAACTGAAACACAATTACCAGAGAAAGAGGAAAATAATCATAAACACCGCAGGTGAACTGAGGAAGCCCTTTCTTCTCTGCAGATAAATACGAGCCTGTCACCTTTAGTCAAAGACACCGAGGCATTCCTTCCTTTTTCTTATCTGTGCAATATTTCCATTAGCACTGTTCTCTGTCTCCTTGTCTCCATTGCTGGGAACACAGGCAGGCCAAGATTTTGTCCTCATTATCCTGTTTTGGGTTTGACTTTCTTCTGCAGCGCATGCGAGCAGCGCTTTGCATATTTTCGTGTGCGTCTGGATATTGGTAGAAATGATTGTTTAGAGAGAAGCAGCTCGTTGCCTAGAAAAGATGCATGCCTTATGTTTAACTCTGTGCTTAACGTTTGGCACAGAGATTAATTGAAAAACACACATGTTCTGGCTGTTACTGCAGCCAGAAAATCCAGATTTTCAACATCAGAGTCTGGGAGGAGCTACACCCAGCATAGCTTTGTTCTAATAGGATGAGCAAACCAAAAAATATGAAATTTTGCCCGAGTCATCATCCATTGTCCAGCCTTCAATGCACGATAATTTAAAACTCTATAATTTTAGTCTTTGACTGTATTACAGCCCCTCATTTATCCCCCTGTCTCAAAACAGCTCACTTCTGTAGAGCACAGAGCTACAGCAGGTGAGGACTGGCCAACCAGGGAAAAATAATAAATACATTTGTGATTGTGCTTTTATTTTACTAAAATTATACTTCAATCATTTTTATTGTTAATTATTACTTGAAATTGGCCTCTGAAGTTGGGGATGGCAAAAAATAGCTTTTACACTTTCTGCTGATTGGCTGCCCCTTGCAGTTGTGTGGGGTTGTTGTGTTTATAGTTTCAGCTTTGTGCTTTAGTTGACCATAATCACAAAAGGAAGTCCTCGACATAGCTGTTGGCCTCCTTTAGTCATGTCAGTGGGTTGTCAGTTGTCACACAGCTGTACAAGGGTACCTAAAGTGTTGCATATTTACCTTTAGGGAGCCAAATCTGTAGCTTACTCTCAATTATAATCAGGAAAAATAAGAAAAGTGCGGTCAGCCCCTAAAGACATATTTTTTTGTTTTTACTATCCTGCCACTCACTTCCTCTCCTTTTTTTTTTTCCAGGTATGAGATTTTCCAGCACCTCTGGGTCACTAGCATACAGGTCAGTCTAATCCTGCGCTTACATTTTACCAGAAAATTGTTCTTCAGGCTTTCATTGCTTGGAGGACCTTTTATAGTCCTATAAAGAGCAGTGTGGAGTAGTGGTCAAATGATTCCATAAGACCTTTATGGTGCTTCAAAGAACCATTTCACAATGTGTGAACAGGTATGCTGTGTGAATGCAGCTGCTGGAGATGAAATTAAACCTGTTTGTGTGTTCCAGTATATCAGAGGAGGAGCCTGGGCCTCTGCGGAGTGACACAGAGGGAAAGAGTGTGACAAAAGTTAGCCGGACCTTCAGCTACCTCAAGAACAAGATGTACAAAAAGACCAGGGTGAGGGAACATGGAGTTTTTCTTCTTTTGACTACACTTCACTGTAGTCTGCTTCTTACAGTTCATTCAGTAGGCAACCACCTTCAGTGTTTTCTTACAAGTGTATCCCCTTTGAGCAGTGAGCAGTTAATGCCCAACCACAGTTTTCAAGTATTCACACATATATGAATCTTAAGCTTCTTGTTCTGTTGGTCCCTGACTAGCTTCAGTCTCACAGCAGGGCTGTTATAGGCAGTTCTGGGCTGAACAGTTATAGGTGTGGCACCTCAAGAACTACATATGTTTGTCCTCTTTTTCTTTTCTTTGTTTTCACTACAACTCCCAATAGGTGCGTGGTGTATTAAGCAGGCGGCGATTAGCATAGCAACAACTAAACTACAACCACAAGAATAAGTTGGAGCATACTGTGCGTTTGAGTTTCCTGATGGCAGATGCCTTGCATTCTGATTTAAGTTAAAATAACATAACATTACGAGTGGCTAATTGTCTTTTTATGTCAGGTGTATCACAGACTAACCTCAGGCAGAGCTCCCACTGTGGCTGGTAATAGGATCCAGAATCCTTATTAAGGTCTGTTTACGTGTGGCAGCGTAAGCCAATGTTGGCATCAGAACTGAGTCATGCTTTGGTGTTTCAGATTGATGTGCACCCCTTGTTTTGGGAACCGGGTGCAGGCAGGTCGAAGGCATGAATGTAAGCTCATGTTGGTCTTTACCACCATTTCAAATATACATCAGTACAGGAGCTCAGAGATTCTCCGATACAATGTGAGATGCTGCAGGAGTTTGAAAAGATGACACTCTCCAGAGAAAACTGTGGGAAAAACCTCCAATTTCTTTGCTTCTACGCTTATAACAGTGCTCCTGAATCTCGGGTCCTTACTACTCTCTTGAATACCTATCGTTCAAATCGCGATTGTACTTTTGCAGCTTTGCAGTTGGCATGCAAAACAACCAATGAGATGACCATAAACTAGGCTTAACAAATCCTTTCCATCTACTCTACAAACAAATGCATGGCTCTTTCCAAGGATAACATGCAGTAAACCAAACCAATTAAGCTTCACTTTGATGAATGTGCCATTTAGTTTCTATTCTAGCGTCATTATTTTTCCTTACGCTGGCTTCACTCTATGCGAAAAAGTTAGTTGAGAGGAAGTACTTTTGTTTTCCTTTAACCCTTGTATGGTGTTCGGGTCTGTGAGACCCATGTTCAGTTTTTTTCAAAAGAAAAATTAAACAATTAATTATTTTTTCACGTGTAAATGTGTTGTGTCTTTCCACTCACTCCACTTGATTATAACTGATTTATTTATAACATTTTATATAAAAGAAAAACGAGAAGCACATTAATTCATAAATGTGATCTAACAAAGGTAAAGGGGAAAAAAATAACCATGTTTGCCGTTCATATGGCTTGTAATTGGGATGAAGTAAACATCTGTTGAGTAATTTAACATAAAATTGTTTGATAGTGTTAATTTGGAAAGCCAAAACTCTAGCGGGTCCACCAGACCCATGAACACTGGCTGAGTAACAAAAATACGAACACCACACAAGGGTTAAGGAGGTGACAGGAGTTTTTATTTCCTCTGTAGCACACAGGCTTAATAACGCCTGGTCTTCCCTGCCAGCTCAACTGTTTGTGTTTTATGTTTAAGAGCTAACTGATGGTTTTGCTGTAATTTCTATGTTAAGTTTACGTGTTCTTTTTACAAATAAGACGTTCATCATGTTGCAATGCATGCTTGCATTCAGACCACACACTTATGTCAGTTAGAGCTTCCCCTTCTGCTGGAGGATCAACCGTAAAGTAGGAGGTAAAAAATGACAGACAAATGAGCTTCTGAGAACTTTGATGGTCCCTCATGCAACGCCACACAAAAGACTTCCTTTAAAAAGTTCTAAGAACTATGAATAGGCCCCTCTGGGTCAAAAGCTCCTTATATGTCCTGCCTTTGCCCAAGTCGTTGTTAGATGCAACTTCCCACTCTCAAATTTCCCAAGCGCCTCACAGCAATGTCTTCTCAGAGAGATAAGCCTCTATGTAAGATGTGGTCAAAGCAGACTTTCTTTCTCCTGCCCTTCGTACTCTGTTAGGGGATCTAGCTGCAGTGTCTCCATTCCTGTCACAGGGTGACAATAATATGCTGTTAGTTTGTTGAAATATCGATCAGTTAAAGTTACTTTATGGTAAATGGCCTGCATTTGTATAGCGCTTTTCTAGTCCCTAAGGACCCCAAAGCACTTCACACTACATTCAGTCATTCACCCATTCACACACACATTCACACACTGGCGATGGCAAGCTACAATGTAGCCACAGCTGCCCTGGGGTGCACTGACACTTTAGTGAAACAATGGCTTCAACACTATTATGACATGGAAATTATTGTACAGTACTGCATTTAAAAATCACAATGCTCAGCACTGCTCACTTTAAATTGCAGAAGTGGCATTTACTGTATTGCAGTAGCCATTAATATGATTTAGGAATACAGTTGTCTGTATCAAGACTTTAAAACTCAACGGGGTAGCTGTGGGTGCTTAAAAGTAAAAATAATTGCATTCAATCTTCTCCCCAAAAAAGAGGCCTTGGAAGGTATTAAATAGTCTTACATTTAATTCACAGATTATAAGCAGTAATGTAATTATACAGCATTTTTATATCCAATATATCCAGTTGTGGGCTGTGTGGTAGACCTTACACAGCTATAAACTGTGTGTGATTGTTGTGACAGTATTTTGAACCAAAGGACACTCACACAGCACCAGGAAGTACAAAAGGCAAATTCTGTTTTCACTAAAACCACAAATTAACATATTACCTTTTGATAGCTATTCTGATATGTAGTTTACTTCATGATCAAAATTGCTGTTAGATGCTACCTGAAAGTATTAGAAAAGAAAAACGGGCTGTAATGATAGATATCCATGTTTCTGCTGCCAGTCATAGCTGCTTTGATCACAAAGCGTGCATTTAAATTTGTACCATGTGGTGATTAAAGGGTCTGAAATGCCCTGAATTTAGCACAGAGTTTTTATTTCTGATTGGGAAGTGAAATGTCTGTTTGCTTCCTGTAAATATGCAGCCCTTGCAAAGAGACACTGAAGGGTGAACAGGAAGTAAAACAGGAAGATAGAGTTGGTGGTTTAATAATCTCCCCTCTAACCTCAGCCGTCACTTTGCTTTTAAAGCAACAGGATTCTGAAAAAGCTTCCCTCCGCCTGCAGCTCATTGCTCTCTGTCAGAGTTATTGGCCACTGTTAAAGCTTTGATGTTCAAAATGGGTTTGCCTGGTGTCTATTGGCTCTCCTTGGAGCATTGAGATTGCATCTGTAACTGTCAAATGTGTTGAAGAATTGGTAATCTCATTTCTTCCTGTCATTAATAAACCAGAACCAGTTTTAAGGAGGATAATTTGTGTCTTCCTCTTTATGTTAAACATTGAAAGTCTGACTGTTCTGGAAGGGGATCTAGTTTGTGCAGTTTTGTCATCATGTCTCTGTCAGACTGAAGGAAGGGTCATTGCAGAAATAGCACCTCCCGTAGCGAGCCAGTGACTTCCTCATTCACAGCCTTCCTAATGGAGACTTGCTGGTAGTAGCTTGAGCCACTGAGCCACAACCAGGGATGTTATACAGGAGTTTCCCAGGGAGCCGTGGCTTCTCACTGAGATGGAAAGGTTGGCTGGAGGTAGGCTAACACAGTGCTCTGGTTTCCCAGTTGAATTGTAGTGAAAGAGACTGTCACAATATCATGTTAAAAGGGGCTGGTGTTTTCCTCTGGGCTGATGTCTTTTTCCAGTGAAGTCATTGCCCGTTAACAGTGTGTTTTACTGGAATGTCTTTTTGTTTAAATCTCTGGTTTAGATGTCACTAGTGATTACTTATCCTGTTGTGTATGCTTGCAGCCAAAACAAAGAGTACAGAGAATCATCTTTTTCAAATGCGTTGAACTGCTGGCGTTTTCTTGTTTTTTGTTGTTTTTTTTGCCGGGCATCAATAGGGGTGATATCAAACAAGCATTCTTGCTGCCATGAAGAATACTTTTTCAGGCCGTTTATTGTGGTTTAGTGCTGGTTAGACAGTTGTTGCAGGAAGTGAGAATGAAAGCTGTGTGTTGTACTGGCTCTGAAACATAGCGTGGGCCAGTCAGGCTTTTGGTATCTTGAAATGGCTGAACCAAATGAGCTCTAGTATGTCAGAGCTTTGTGGTCCCTTCAAACCAAGAGGCCCAGGGCTGGTCATTAAAATGAGCTGGAAAACTGCATTTTCCCATTTCCTCTGGGTTTGGGTGGAGGCTCTGTGATGTAAATCCAAGAGAATGAGAGCTCTGTTCTTCTCTGCATCACTTTATGGGATTGTGATTCAGCTGAGTGTCCAGAGATGACCAGCTGCTGAGGACGATCTCATCCATTAATGCAGAGGCAGCAGAAAGCCCACCCTGTTATGGAAAGGTCATAGAAGTGATTCCCAGACAGTGCGTCTCCGTCACCAGTCATGCATCCTGCAGAAATGCCTCATTCTTCATAAGAGATTTTGAATAGTAGCATTCGAGTGTCTTGAGAAACCAAACGAATACGTAATATGAAAATATGCTGCCCTTTTGGGATAAATGGTCATTGAAGATCTCCACCTCTGAGTCTTCTGTCTCACCTCAGAAAAAAGGATTCAAAGTGTCTGAAATTTATTTTAAAGAGTTCCTTAATGAGACAATTTGTTGTCAGGATAAATAATGCATCACTTAATATGCAAACCCTCCCGCTGCGTCCTACATCCGAGTAATAATGTTGCTCTGCAGGGTTCAGATTGGAATTTAACAGAAGCGACTGGCCCAGTGTCAGTGTCTGGTATGTTAGTGGATGCTACACGTCACCACGCTTCACTTCGAAACTTCTAATTGGATGGCAAAGTTGAAGCAATTAGCGAAGTTCAAGGTTGGGTTGTCTTCTTAACTAATTAATTTCCATTTGTGCAGGAAAAGGAGCGAGACAAACGGGAGAAGGACAAGGAGGGCAAGGAGAAGGACAAGAAGATTGTGAACGGTCATGTTTTTACACCAGTCAGCTCAAACCACACCACCCAGTGCTCCCAGTGCAATAAAGGTTTTAATGGCAAGGATGCGTTCCATTGCACATGTAAGTAACTTTGTTTTTTTTTCCTTTTTGTCTTGTTGGTTTTCTGCAGAGTTGCTGTAGCTTTAAATTATATTAAATCCTAATAACCTTTAATTATTTTATTAGAAGATTTTAATTTCTTATCTGAAAGCACACTAAGCTGCAAGTCGTTTCTGAAAGACGATGCTGAACATAAGGAGAGGAAATGAAAAGATTTCACCAATAAATCCAGGAATATGCATGTTTGAATATGTTAGTTTATGTTTCTTCTCGTCTTTGTCTCTCAACAACCATTCATCCGATCCACTTCACACTTGTTATGTGTGTTACTGAGAACCTAAGTAAGAGCGGTGCTGAGTCTAAAGTTGTTTTGATTAACAGTTCTCATAGTTTGGCTGAAAGCACAGACTGTATGTAAATGATGGACCACACGTCTATGAAATTACCCAGTAGTCTCTGGATTATGAATTTTGAGGCTTCATAGCTGGTACACACTTGTTTTAAAAAGCCTGAGGTGACCATATTAGGATTAAAAGAATCAAGTTGTCAGCTAACGCTAGCTATCTCGGTTAGCAAGCTGCATTCCCAAACAAACAGGCACAAATGGCTGCTAAGTTGGTGCTGAGGAGCAGAATTATACAGTGTAGAATTTCTCCTGCCAAAAATGTAGCACAGACTTCTTTGACGGCTGTACCACAAAGCAGGCCGTGTTATTTGTCAGATAATTTTGTTAAGAACTGGCCTAGCAGACAGCTGCCAGCCAAAGCTGTACATGTCAGCGCACCTGTCAATTAAACCAACTTAATATACCAACTTGCCAATTTAAATTAGTTAATTTGAAAAATAAAATAAGGTGTTCACTTTGTAGCTGAAGTTGGGCATTTTAAAATGAGAGTCTGTGTGGAGTGATTCTCGTTTAGCGGTAGCATCTGGGGTTGCTGCTTGGCTAAAAGTTGTTTTGTGTTACCAGCGTTGTGCCCCCTCAGCTGAATTCTACTGATATATTTCAGCTATAAGTTACATTAATTCAAGCTATTTGGTAATAAAAAAAGGTAAACACCCGTATCACTGCTAAGTTAATGCAATGCAAGCTCAATTTAATTATCTGGTTTACAGTAGTTTAGTGTTTTTATAGCAATCATGGTGACCGGCATGACTGAAGTTGACAGTGAGCAAATGGTTAAGAGGTTATTTGGCACCTTTTGCAGGTAGTTCTAAAGCAGGACCCTGGTTGAAATTTTTAAAACAAACATAAATGTATGGAAGATATCCTTGGTGGACTACAGCCTGCCTTATGTGTGATGGGACGTGACACACATTTGTATAGCAAGAAAATAGTGTTTCTATGTTAGTTAAATGACACCTTTAGCAGTGACACAGACGCGTGTTCAGTCATTGTTTTCAGAGCAGTAATGCTATGTTTATATCTGTTAACTTTCACAACAACTGATTTCCTGCATGTGATGCATTTAGGTAATATCTCTAAATCGTAGCTCATGAACAGGAACTGCATGAGTAGCAGAGGAGTCAGACCCTATAGTAGGTCAAGTCAGTTTACTGTAAAGGCTCTGTGTTTACATTTAGGCACTAAATGAAAAGATTTAATTTAAAGAAAAAGTAAATTAGAATTCCTTTATTTGATTATAAAGGACAGTGCAAGAAAACATGAAACACCAACTGAACTTTATATTAGCAGTTAGTTGTGCAGCTGCAGCGAAACTCCCCAAAGAGCTACTTCTAATGCAACCCAGTCAGACTTTGATTACAGACAACAGAACTGTTTTTTTGCATTGTTTTTTACTGGAGCGGCAGAGGCAGCCCTAAAGAGGTTCTAGTTTATTGCACAAGTCTTTGGCGCAAGCCCAGAAAAAGCCTAAAAAGGAGAAACAAGCTCTGCGATGGATCACAGCAGACCTCTTGGCCACAATCTGCCTCAGATGCTTCAGACTGGCAAAAACAGCCCCTGTTGTATTCAGTCAGTCTGGTTCAGATTGTTAGAGCCACAGACAGTGTGAGGGAGGTTTGTACTCTGGCTAGTGTCCATTCAGCAGAGGAATACAGTGATCCTTTGTCTCAGATTAGCTGGTCTTATTTGGACGTCACCAAAAAGCAGTAAAAAACCTAATAAAATACAGAGGCATGTAAAAAAAAAAAAAAATCATTGCAGGAAATCAAGGTGCTTTGATAATCATGCAATCTTCTACTTGCTAATATTTTTACAGTGAGACATTTTCAGGCGATAGCTCCCTGCCCTGACAGTGTTGCTGCCTTTCTGACTGGTGCAGCGCTATTTTCTCACCCAGACTAAAAGCGGCTGTTGAAGTAATCCCAGGAACGGAAATGTTGCACTGTATGCATTCTAGCTTGGGTGACTAGGTCTGATAGTGCGTTTGTGGGTTTCACATGTGTGTTGAGTGGACTTCTGTCTCCTGGAAATATGCCCGTATGATTAAATCCTGATCAGCCACCATTTTTTTCCCTCCTTGATGTGAGCATTAAAAATAAAGAGCGAATATTAGGAAAAACTGAGAATTTGAGTTTAGTGGACAGATCAGCCTGTAGAAGAGGTCAAATGTCAGCAATCTAAAACCATGACTTTGTTCTTAAATGGTGATTCGAGAATGTTTACATGATTTAAATTTTCCCATGCAATTCGGTGGTCACGTGCGTGTGTGTCATATCTGTTTTTTTCCCCCCATCGTCCACGAGCAGCATTACCCCTCGATTGCATCACATGCTTTGCTCCAGTCTGGCTTTCATTAGCAGGCTGGTGGAGTTTCCTGGACGGCTATGAAAAACCAGTCAGATTTTCTAGCCCCCACTTTTCCACACACCCTCACATGCCCCACCACCACCACCATCAGGCTAACAGTATTCACTCCTTCTTTTCTTTCCAGACTGCAATGCTTCCGTCCACAAGGGCTGCAGAGACAGCCTGGCTGTTTGTGCCAAGGTGAAGATGAAGGTACAGCTTCCTCGCAGTTACTCCTCCACCGATTCTGTAGTACTCTGCTGTCCCGAAGCCAATATCGATTTTCTTTTCATTTATGCTTTTTCTCACCGTTTCTCTGCTTAGTTGCCCAACCAGCAGTTTGCGGTACCAGATTCGAGCTTGTTTCCTACAGTAACGATGAGGAACAAACGTGAGTGTGAAACCAGCTCAAGATTGCCTACACAGTTGTCACAGCCAGTAATTATTTGCAGATTTATCGCCAAACTTCTCTGATCCCCTAATAAGAGGAGATTGAAGGGTTTTTGTGCACATTTATTTTGTTCTGATAATTACTTACACTAAAGTTGGCAAAAAGTGTAGCTTTTATCTACACACCGTGACAGAGTGCTTCTTTGGGGTTGTTCTTAGGACCAGAGCTCAAAGTGTTGCTCCTAGAAAATTCAGCCACACACACACACACATAAATATGATTTAAACAGATTTAAACTGTTAAATTAGTCAAAGGACAAAACCTTTTTTCCTTTGAATAGAGAAGCTTTATGCTGTCTGAAGTCTCCTAATAAATTATGTCTAAGAAGGTAGACAGTCTGTGAGGAGAGAAAAAGATGGACTGTATTTGCCAAAATACAGTCTTAAAACCATCGCTTTTACCTGTCAGTGATTTAGCTTTTTAAATTTAGCATTTGGAAGCAATGACTTGTCATGAAACCGAGGTTTCTAACTATACCAGAGGCCCCAAAAAGTCAGGATAAGTTAGGATCTCCTGCTGGTTTTGAAAAGTGTTCAGATTATTGTTGTAATCTAAGTTTGCTCTGGTCCAGCTGGTGGGACAAAGGAACGCCCCTGGTCGGCCATCTTGCCCCCTGAGGACCATTCCACCTTAATGATCCCATCACGGAGACACACCAACATCATGACTTTCACGGGAAACAACCTCTCCAAGAGTCTCTCAATAAGCAACATTGCTGGGTGAGCTGCTCTGTGTGTGTGTTGGAGTGAAATGTTTCTGTACTTAATCTAATTTCATTTTTAATAGTTTAGTTTTTAATGCATTATTTGACCCCTGTACAATGTGTTTAAACAGATACATGGGTAACTGTGTATGGCCTGTTACAAAGACAACATTAATAACGTGAATTTTATTATCGTGTCTCCATTCAGTCCGGTGTTTGACGAGATGCCCATTAAAGGTCTGCGGTATCTCTCTCAGTCCACCGACTCGCTCAACAGAACCAACCAGGTCACAGAATCCATGGAATCACTTACTGATGAAGGTTAATAAAGGCACACACACACAAATTCATTTTCCACGTTTTTTAATTTAAGCTAGTTTAATGTGAAAAAAATAATTACTTTTTAAAAAATAAATAAATGATTAATGCATATACTGCACCGAACAGAAACTTAATGTGGTTTATCCAAACCTCTCACCTGTAGATTATCGTATAAATGGAAGTTAGTTTTATTAATTCAGGCTGTGTTGTTGACTCAGGAACAGAAATGATGGATGGGCAGCTGATGGGGGAGTTTGAGGCTGAGGCCAAAGAGCTGGAAGCAGACTCGTGGAGTTTAGGTGTGGATCAGCAATACCTGCAGCAGCTGGACAAAGAGCTGGTGAAGAGACAAGATGTCATCTACGGTAATCACCACATATAATACTCACTGCAGTAACTTTGATTAAACGTAATTTAATCTGAAGATGGTTACTGGCAAAGCAAGGAAAGGTAATAGTTTCTTAAATGGAGTAGCAACATTTTTAATCAAGCTCATTCTTGGCCTGGTTTCCTACATTTCTGTGTGTCAGCTAGTAAGGAAGCATCTAGTAAAAGTGGACCAATGTTATTTAAAGCAGAGAAAAACTCGAGAAAGGAGGTAACGCCTTTAAGCCCAGGATTAACAGTGTTAGATAAAATAAAAATGTCACTGCTGTTTCATCTGTGTCGTTGTTATATTCATGCCTGATGTACTTTGTTTAAGGGTGAACCTACAGTATTTTAATTGGGCCCCACTTAAGGACTTTCTCCAGTTGTATCTACCAGGCTCTGTGATCTAATATGGCTTTTTTTTTACCTGATTGAAATGTGCACTGAGATACTCTTAATGCGCCTGAGCTGATTTGAATCTATTTGTAGTCAAATTTTCTTCGTATTCCTTTTACACGAGCTATGCAGTGACCCCTACCACTGTAGTTGCAGATCAGTTGCAAAGTTATGAACTCTATAAAACTCTGTGCACCTCTGATACAGGGAGGGTATAGATGTATTTGAATAGCAGGTGGTGTATGCTGGTGGCTGTCATTTCAGCTTATTGTGCACCTCCAATTTTCTTTTGGGTACCTGCTGGAGGCATGAGTCTCTGCAGGCATCTTATGATACATGAGTGCAGGGATTCCCAGATGGCACAGATTGCTGCAGCAGTTTGAAAATATGAGAAAGTCTGCAGAAAACTTTGGAAAAACCTCCATAACCACTTTGTTAGCGACTACTTCTTTTCCTGTTTCACCAGTGAAGCTGTTCTCTTTCTGAGCTGTGAAACCTGTTATTTAGGAGAATCATGCAGGGAATCACATACAAGTGGAAATGGTGCGATGGTGCTGATGTTATATGTCAGTGACTATAACGGAGGCTTAAGTGTCATTTCCCTTCATGTCCTGCAGAACTGATGCAGACAGAGATGCATCACGTTCGGACGCTGCGCATCATGTCAGAAGTGTACAGCAAAGGCCTGCAGAAGGAGGTTCAGCTGGAGCAGCAGATGTTGGAGAAGCTCTTCCCCGTTCTAGATGATCTACTTGAGCTCCACACACAGCACCTCCTGCGCCTCCTGGAGAGGAAAAAGGAGAGCCAGTTAGAGGGAAGAGTCTTTGAAGGAGGCTTCATCATCAGCAGGATAGGGGACATCCTGGGTAGCCAGGTGAGAGGGGGCAGGGGCTGGTTCAAAATTCATTTCTATTCTTTACAGCTGATTTAACACAAGCTGGTTTTACAGAAAACCTAAAAGGTAACATGACTGTTTATTTTACAGAAACGAGAGCTTTTTCTGAAAGGTTATCGACAGAATGCATGTGTGTTCATGGCTGTTATGAAAAGCCTAAGGTTGATTTTTTTGTTTTCGTCTAAGTTTACACCTCCAAAGTAAATTTACACAATCTCTGAGTCAAATATTGCTCCCACAAATCCCAAACATTTGTCTCAACTCACGTTTGAAGTTCTGAAACTTTGAAAATAATGTTAGCTTTTTAACCTTTATTTATTTCTGCTCTACCAACATTAGTTTTTGTGTGCTTACACCTGTCAACTCCTTCTCTAGTTTTCGGGATCAAATGGTGAAAGCATGAAGAGGGTTTACGGAAGATTCTGCAGTCGCCACAACGAAGCTGTTAACTTCCACAAGGACCTTCTAACCAAAGACAAACGCTTCAAAGCGTTCATCAAAGTAAGCGTCAGGCTTCTCTCGCGGATTTATCAAGTGTCTGTCACACAGCAGACGAACTTTCCGGAGAAGTCTCTTTTCATGCTTTTTGATGAAAACACATTTTTCTTCAGGATGTCTGGCTTTCCAGACACGATTGTGTTTGTTGAATAGAGTTCTGACATTGTTTTCTCTTGTATGGAAGTGCTTGAAGTAGCGTTGAACAAAGAGCTTGTTCTTATTCTGTGTTGCTTTCCTTTTAGTTGTATTATTTTGCATCTGCAGTTCATTTCAATCAGGGCATGTGCCGGAGACATTTGAATAAAAGCTGTATTACCCTCGAGGCAGTTTATTTTTATTATAGAAACGCCAGTGCTCGCCGTCATAAACAATAACAATAAACACCCTCTCAAGTACTACTGCTGTATTGTTCTACGCCAAATGAGTTTTGCAGCTTCTCGCTGGTTATGTGAGACCCTGCCACCTGTTGTGTGTGGGCATGTTTTACTAAAAGCACCTCTTGTTTATTCTTTCAGAAAAAGATGAGTAGCAGCATTGTGCGGAGGCTTGGCATCCCAGAATGCATCCTTCTTGTGACCCAGAGGATAACGAAGTACCCCGTGCTGATTCAGAGACTGCTGCAGCACACTAAAGGTTATTTTCATGTTGGCATTTTTTCACTGTTTTTTACTTTGTCTATAAAACTGGTAGAAACAAAAGCACGAACTTGGTTCTAATTTTTCAGATGCTGGATTACTACAGGTTGCTGCTGCAGGCTAAATATACTGAATTTCTTATTAATCGATATATTTATTACACATTTTCAATAAACTAACAAGCAAAGCAACTTCAAGAAACTAACAAAGACAAAACAACCAGAAGGTTTCCTAATCGAGTATCACTTTGTAAGTTTGTTGCTAGCGAACATTCCAGGTTGCAGTTGCCCGAATAAGGCCCTAATACCACCAAAATATGCAAATTCTCATGACCATTGATCAACAACCACTGATCAAAGGAGGCCATTTTCGTGAAAAGGGAAAGACATGTCTGAATCGAGGAGGGGGCCTAAGGGTACATCTGTCACCATCTCACAATGCTGTGATTGCAGCCTTTCCCCAACTCTCTGTGAATGGTACTCATGGGCTTTGATCAATGATCATAACAGTTTAATGATCATAAACTGGCCTCCCAGCCCATTGTTCCTTCAGTGGGCTGGTTTCAGTCATTATGCAAATGTACTGTTCATAAGATTGGGGAATCCTGCAGTCAGGTCACTTGGATAAGTGACGAAATGTTTCTTCCACTGACGTTACGTCCAGATGAACAGAATCAACTTTTGGGGATTTACTTACCTGCATGATTGAGTATGCATCAAGGCCCTAATGTATTTACTACCCTTAAATATGTTGATGGTAGCTGCTTCAGTCGGTTGACCTGGTTATTTCCATTGTCGCTTATAAAGTCTGTGGTCTGGTCACCGCGTTCCTACAAGTTTACTTCCTATGTGGATGCTGCTTAAATCTTAATTCTAAATTTCACTAAGTTTCACTTAGCGCAGAAAAAAATGTGTGAATTTAAAGTTGGAGATTTAAGCAATGTAATTAAGTCATTTTTCCCATTTCAGTTTTGGCTTTTTTAATTTTAGAACTTTTCACAAACCAAATACAATATTTTCTTTACATCATTCTCTATGATTTATATAATTATTTAGAGAGTTTATCTACAGTAATAGTTATCACATCACCTTTATCCTGAGAATAGAAAATAAACTCCTGGAGTACCTCATTATTAATATTTTTCCTGACAGCATTCGGCTCCGCTCGTACACCGAAAAGCCGCCCACAGCAGTGTGCCGTTTGTTTTAGGAAACATCCTGAAAAGTACAATTTCTCGCACACAGTTTCATATATTTTGAGAAAAATGAGACATGTGCTGGATGGATGTTTATAGGATAATAGATCAAGCACACTTTGAGGAGCTGGAATATTTCACACCATATTTATATCTGATTTAAAGCAGCTCTCATCAGCTGGCCTCCCACTGTGTGCATTCTCTCTAATCCCTCCCCAAAGCCTGTTTATAGTTCTATGTGGGATGGGGGAGCTCTGCCTTAATCCCCAAGGTGCTTTAAGAAGAGTCTCTCCTGCCAACTCTGATATGTACTGAGAGGAAATAACACAGTAGAGTCACAGTTTGAGATTATATTTTCTTGCTTTGGAGCACAGACATACAACGCAGGAGGAAAATATTCCACTTTAGGGAAGGATGTTGCATGCTGAGCCTAAAACTCAAGAGTGTTATATAGAGTACAACAAGTGTGCATTCGGGACAGTTTGACTGGGGTTTTCCTCACTTTGCAGACTTAAAGGGCACTCGTGACTTTGCTGTAATCCTTAGAGTACCCCAGCGGAGACTCCATGTTTCCTGACTCATGGCAGACCCTGATATTTTACTCCTTTGTTGTTATACTTTAAAAAACAAAATCCCAGTACTTTTCTATAAATAACAAAATCCCAGTACTTTTCTATAAATAAATGTTAAGCTTGAGTCACTTGACAGTGACTCAGCCGCTGTCAAGTTAATCAAGGCTTTTATGTGCGCACTTTATTTAGATAACCAGATGGCTTTTGCAGCTACGCTGATTAAAAATGTATTTCATTAGAAATGATTCCATCCTCGTTCTCTTTCCTGCTGAGCATAAGCTGAAACTGATATGTATTGGGTGTGTGTCCACTGCATGAGTCTATCGCCAGCAGCTAGTTAGCAGATAATGCAAAGGAAGCGGTATCAGTCTTCTTGTCCAATTTGCTGCAAAGAAAAGAAGTTAAATATTTGGATTTATAGAGTAAGGAGCATCGGAGCATTTTGTAAAAGAGAAAATGTAATATACAAATACAGTGGGTGCTCTTATGGCTTGAGTCCCCTTAGAGTAGAGGGTCTAATTCAGCCCACAGGTTGGCTTTGCGAAGTCATCAATTACTACGGTTTGTGATTTGTGGTGTGCACATGAAGGCATAAGTACAGGGGAATGAAAAAGTCTAGATAGCTAAAAAGTTTTTCTAGGTCTAAACAAGTTATTCTGTCTGTTCGTCCTTCCATCCAACCATTTTCTTCCACATCAGGGGTGACGGACAACCATTCGCATTCACACTCACACCTATGGCCAATTCAGACTCACCAGTTACCGTAACTCCACGTGTTTGGACTGTGGAAGGAAGCCAAGTATGTGGAAAAACCCACATGGGGAGAACATGCAAAATCCATACAGAACGACATATTTATTTTAATCATCGAGTAAAACACTATTGTTTCTTAATCACAAATATCTGTACATTTTGTGCTTTTCAGGCACGATCTCGAAATTGTTCTGCAGCGTTCTCCAAAATTATCAAAACATCAAACGGCAAAATAGGGAATGATGTTAAAGCTACACTGAAGGTATTCTGGCTCCAAGTATTGCTCGAACATCTTACTAAGAAACTTAATGATCATTTTAATTTGCTATATACATACTGTAAATGAAGGTTTTTCATTAGACATGTACAAGAATTAAAAACAAACTAGAAAAATTTGCATATCCTGCGAAAATGCTGTGTGGATGCCTTGACGCTGAAGATGTCTGCTGAAAAAAGCTGAAAAGGTTGAAAGTTGAAAAAACGTTGCCCTGAGCAGGATTCGAACCTGGCACTTCTGGTCTCAAGGCGGCTACTCATCTCACAGCCAAACTCATTTTCACAAAGAAGAGGTGGAGAGACTGACAATTCTGCTGAAATGAGCAGAAGCTGCTTAGAATTGTGCTGATAAGAGGTGAAAAGGCTAAAAATTTTGCAGAAAAGAGGTGAATCAGAAGAATTTCTGCTGAAAAGAGGTAAAGAAGCAAAAAGTTTAGCTGAAAAGAGATGAATCAGCAGAATTTCTGCTCAAAAGAGTTTTTTCTGAAAACAGCTGAGATTTGTGATAAGAGGTAATTTGCTAAAAAGGTGAATAGCAAATTTCTGCTGAAAAGAGGTTTTTGGTGAAAAAAAAACTGAAAATTCTGCTGAAAAGGGGTGAAAAAGCTGAAATTTGTGTTGAAAAGAGTTAAAAAAGTTTAACTGTTAACTGAAAGAAATGTTGCCATAAGCGGGATTTGAACCCGGGCCTCCCAGTCTGAGAACGGATGCTCATCTCACTGAGCTAAAACACAGGTCAACCCGGCAAGGAAAACCAGTGAGGCCACTGATAATATGCAGAAATTGGCAAAAAATATTGCAAAAAAAAATTCAATATCTCAAAAAGTATAGAAGTTATGAGCACCAAAAGTCAAAGCCCGCATTAGCAGAAAGAGCAGAATTTTTTAAGATTTGAACGGTGAAAATAGCACAAAAACTGTGGGAGTAGTTAAGCGCCAAAAAGTGTACGGAAGCAACTAGAATAAAATAGTGGAATAAAGAATAAAGAGAAACAGGAACTCTGTTCCTGTGATGGCCCTATGAGGGCATCCACACAATTATAAGATGTCTTAGATGTCTCTATAATAATATGTGTGACTCACTGTGACCAGCTAATACCATAAAAAAGCTTTCAGTACTCTCTTCCAGTGAGTGTAAATGCAGCCACGGTTAAAATACTGAAATGAGAAGTAAAATGTCACTTCATCGTCTGCCGCACTTAAACGCCACCTGTCTGAGCCGTTCAGGGTTAAGTGTGTTAGATTGGAGTCATTAAACTACCAAATGTAACGGTGCTCCATTTTTGCTTCAGCTGGTTTAAAATCACATTCCTATGGTAATCTCTTGTAGAATAAATTTTCTAAAATCTTGTCACACGTCTAACACAGAGAGCGACGAAGACTACTTTGACCTGACGGAGGCTATTCGACTCGTGAAGGAGGTGATAGCGGCGGTTGATAGCAAGGTGAACGAACACGAGAAAAGACGGCGCCTGAAGGAATTTCACGGCCGTATGGACAACAAGTCGATTATGATGATGAAGAACGGGCAAATTTTCGCCAGGGAGGATCTGCTTAGGAGGCGGCTGATCCACGATGGAGCGCTACAGCTGAAAAACACCCAGGGAAGATTAAAGGGTGAGGAGTTGGGGATGGGAAATTTGTTAGTCTTTTTAGGGTCTAACATTTCGATGTATTTAAACTAATCCAACAACAACTGATTTTCTTCTGGTCGTCTTCCAGAGGTTCATGCTCTGCTCCTATCAGACGTCTTCGTCTTCCTCCAAGAGAAAGACCAGAAATATGTCTTTGCCATGCTGGTAGGTCATCTCTTTCCCTCTCCTTTGCCCTACAGTTATGAAGAACTCATGAGTGCTGCCAGAGATGATGCTGTCATATTTTCCTCTCCCACTGTTGTTGCTGTTAGCAGGAGCTGCCCTTCTTAGCTATCCCATTGTGAAATAATGCCTGCCTCTTGCTAGCACGTTAGCTGCACCTAATAAAGCTTATCTGGCCCTGGGCTCCTTAACCCAGCTGTGATAAATCATATAGGTTTGAGTTGTTTTTTCCATGTTTACAGGACTCACAACTTCATGGCATGCCACACTCTCTCTCCCTCTCTCACACTCGCAGGAATGGAAACAGAGGCAGGCTGGTGGCTTAATAATCACATCCATCAGTAAAAAAGAAAAAAAGAAAAAAAAGCCTGCAATGTTTGAGTTGGAGCTGTTGACATTAGAAAGGGGAATAACATGTGGTTTGAAATGGATGGCAGCCATGTGGAGAGGGTTTGTTTTTGAGAGTATAGGCATCAGTTCTGTGGATCAACAAGAGTACATGCAGCTACTGTAGCAGGTCGTAGATCATCACCACCTTTACAGGAACACAGACCTGTAGAGCTAAAAGAGAATGGATGATAGGAAATAAACAAAAAGACGAGGAGAATCTAAATGTTTTCAGCTGAAACATTTGGAGCTTTATTACCAAACCTGCATATTATAGATTTGGCTCCATATTTTTGTGTTACATATATTCAAACTACTGTTACTTAGTAACAGTGATTAAGACAGGGGAGTATTGCCTTGCCTCTGTCAAAGGCCTGAACAACTCAAAGCTGAGAGGTTTGACAAAAGCATAAAACAAGAAGGAAAAGCAAAAGATCTTTCGTCATATTTGCTTTAACTGTACAGCACAACCTTCCGCTGTGACAATGGCTCCAAAATTTAAACCTGCTTTTACTTCATTACTCTGGGGCTGGCCTCAAAGATGCTCTCTTCTGTCCGTGGCTCCATATCTTTGCTGGAATGACGATTCAAACATCAAAATGACAGCAGAAATGATCGACTTTGAAAGCAGAAATTGTCTCTTAGGAAATTGTTACACACTCAGTAAATACACCTCAGCTTTCTATTTTGTTGCATTCAGTGCTCTTAGCTTGCTGGCGCACAGATGTGGTGGCCATGCTCTATTCTATCTAGTGTGATGTGTGCATCATCACCACAGCTTGAAGCTGGAAGCCCAAAAATAAACAAAGCTAAAGTGCTTTTTTTCTCATGGGTTGATGGGAAAAAAAGTTACATAAACTGCACAGGAATGGTAGCCATTGTAGTTCAAACTCACATGTAATTGGACAAATTAGCAGCATGTTAAACACTTTCAGTCAGTGACTCCCTAAAGCTTGGAACCAATGATCATCACACAGAAAAGACTTCCTCTGAAATATTTTTCCTGGTTTCTGTCTTGTCTTCAGTTGGGTTTTTGTTTTTGTGTTTTTGGAGTCCTTCTGCTTGGTTGCTTTCCTTTGCTATGGAAAGGGTCCTGTGATCATCCACTACTGCTCTCTTCTGTGGACATCAAGGCCTTTTTATGTAGCTGTGTGTCTTCCCTGTGTGTTCTTTTTTTTCCCATCCACACGTAACAAAGCTCTTGATCTGGTCTCTTGTAATGTTCCCCCTCTTTCTCTCTGTGATGCGTTAGTTTTGCTTTTGCAGCTTAAAGATAGTATTGCGAGCTATTCTGGGTTGCATGTTGTGGGATTTCTGAATGCAAATGCCACATCTAAATCTCCAGACCTTTTATCGGTTTAACTGACAAAGAAGTGTCTGAGAAATAGCCCACATAAGTTCCTGCAGACTGACGGCTGTTGATAAAGGCTGCAGTTAGCAGTTATTGCAGTATTTTTGGTGAAAGTATCCAATTAAAGGTGACAATTTGCATTTATGTTTAGGTGACTGATGTAGGAATGCATAGTTCCCCCCTCTTCATGTTGAATGTGGAGTGTTTTTAGTGCAAACTCAATCTTTCTGTTCCACTTGTTGAGCTGCATCAACAACATTTTTTCCCCTCTAAAATACTTGATTTGGTTTAAACTGTAGAACGTGTGCTGTGGATTTTCTTCCTATTGTTTACAATGTAGTCACACCAGGAAGACAAACACACAGGAAAAAAACTCAACCTATTCTTTAAACCTCAGACAAGTGGTTGGAGAAAAAATGTAGGGATGTGGTTACAGCTTTGGAGTTTTACTAGTTTGAAAAGAAATGATGGAGTGGTTTGTGGTGTACTAAAATGTGCTTTACAGTGTTGGCACTCTTAAGAATGCAAGGTTAGCAGAGGCTGTGAATCAGCCGACAGCCATGATAATCATAAAATTAGCCAGAATGTCAATTTGGCTTCTTCTTTTCTCTTTATTCCATATTTTTTCATTCTCCCCTTTGTGTCTGTGATCCCTATCCATCCCTTTGTCTTTGTTTCTCTTACGCTTTTCTCCTGTAATTATCCTTTTTCCTCCTCTGCTTTAGCCCACCCTTCTTCCTGCCTTTTCCATCCTCTTCCCTGATCCTCACCATTTGTTTTCCCTCCACCCCCTTTCCTCCCTCCTGGCCCTCCCCTTATCATCTCTCCTCTCTCTTTTTTTTCCTTCTCTTTTTTCATTCTCCTCCCATGTTGCCTCTCTCCCTGCAGGATCAGCGCTCCACCGTGATCTCCCTCCAGAAGCTGATTGTCAGGGAGGTCGCTAACGAAGAGCGCGGCCTCTTCCTCATCACGGCAGGCATAGAGAAGCCGGAGATGATGGAGGTCCTGGCCAACTCGAAAGACGAACGCAACACCTGGATGCAGCTCATCCAGGAAGCCATGCAGTCTATGTGAGTAGAATTCATGTCAGTGTTTTTATTTTAAAACATATGAAGACTAAATATATTAATGTACTTGACACACAATTATTTTTGCATCTTGTAATCTACATGTAAGAGCAAGCTTAGACCCCGATCTTTTCTGGTTTACCATAACCTGCAACCTCTTCCGCAGAAGAAACTCCACTGTGCTTTACATTAAGGGCTCTGTCTCTCAGAGTTCATCACCCGTCCATCTGTGATGTAAACCACGAGTTAGACCAAGCCCAGTTCTGTGGACAGAGCACTGTGCTGTCAGGAGGATTAGCACTACTCTACCTGGGGATAGGATGTACTCAGGGACAGTCTAATGCTGGTTTGGCTTCAAGGACAGCTCGCTATAAGCAGAGGATTATTTGAATGCAGCCAGTGGGAAGGAGAGAGATTAGGCACTCTGTCTCCTTCGCAGTCTGACTTCTGCCAAAACACAAATGGAGATCATGCTATTGGCAGAAATTAATTTTTTTTTTTAAGGGCTATGGCTTCTGTGTTTTTTTTTTTTCTCTTGAACTAAAAACACCATGTGTTCATGTGCTTCAAACTTTTGGGACACTTGTCTGTTGTCCTGTGGGACGGAAGCTAATGGTTATTTTCATGACTCGTCTTTTTAAGACGAGAAATCTGTAAAATGTTGCAAATTAATGAAAATGTTTCGGAATACTGTTTTTAAGTTTTTAATTACCAAAACTTTAGTGAATAATTTAACTCCAGTTAATTGATTAAACACGTGTACACTGTAAGTGATGTAGATTTCTGGTTGTTTGTTGGTCTTTAATCCTGTCTAATTTATGGGATGTTGTACATCATCTTTATTTTCTTTATTGGACAGGGACAAGGATGAGGATGAAGGGATTCCCAGTGAGACAGAAGATGACAAGAGACAGCTAGAGACTAAAGCAAAGGAAATGAGAGGTGAGAGAAATCTATTAAATTTGTTTGTATGATAGCAAGCACACACACACATTTGCCTGAGATTTCTCACTGTTTGTCTTTGTGTCTTCCTGTCTGTCTGTCTCTGCTGGTCAGAACTGTTGAGGCAAAAGGATACAGAAATCATGTCTCTGCTGGAGGAGAAGGTGCGGCTTTTCAGAGGGATGTGGGAGGGCGTGAGCCCAGGCGAGGAGGCCTGTCGGCAGGTCCAACCTTTCTTCAGGTCACCCTGCAGCCTGGAGCCGCCTGGGGGGGCGTCCATCATGAAAGATGCCCTGCAGGAAGGTAAGAAAGACGGGTTTCTAAGATGTGTGCTGTGGATGCGTCATTCATTGAATATACTGAGAAATAAATTTGAATGAACGAAAAAAAACACAGTGAGAGGCTTGTATACTAACATTGTTACACATTGTTAGTATGTGGCATGTGTCATTGCTGCTTTATGAACATAAAGTACATCTTACACATGTTATCCTGTTTACGTTTTTAAATTTTATCATCTAGGCAAACTTAAAAGATTATAAGAAAAGTATGTAAAAGATTGAGTGGGTAAGTGCGATATCCTGAAGTTGTGTTTTTAAAGCCTTAAACGAAGCGTTTTCGGCTCCTCAATCAGGATACCTATGGCCTAACCATGCCCAGCCCTTCACTGTCTGTTTTACTTTAAATGATACCACAAGTTAGAAAATAAACATCAGATATAAATCAGATTGCAATTACTTGCAAACCTTCAAACCTGTCACAGTGGTTGCAGTCGGTCTGAGTCAAATTGTAATTGTGTGGAGACAAGTTGCTTCCCACCAGGCAACCTGTGATCAAAACTGATCGCATGGTGACTGAGGATGTTGTACACTGCAACTACTTGCAATGAATCTCTGACAGCAAAAACATTCAATTGAATCAATGGGCAACCACTGATTTTTTTTTTCCTAGTTGGAAGGAGGGTTTCTTCCTATTTTTAACTCTGGTGTGACTGAGCTATTAGCATCCACTGTGGTGGGCATCTGTACTAGACATCGGGCAGACGTGCTTGTCAGATCCCCAAATCACCTCAACTGGCTCCTTTCGATGTGGAAATGTAGCAGCTTTTCTCTGAGCCCCTTGCAAACGACTGATCTCATCAACCTGTCTCTAAGGGACAAGCCACTCTGCCTTCGAAGAAAGCTCATTATCGCTGTTTGTATCCACAGTCTTTCGGTCACTATCCAAAGACCATGACTATAGGTGAGGATAGGGAGGCAGGCGGACCATTTATTCCCTTTTAGTTTTTGGTCTATTCTCCTTTTAGTGAGGTTTGAGTTCTTAACACCAAAGCGGTCCTAACACCGCATTTGTAAATGACACCTTGAGAATAAAACAGGGTATTATAACATCTCATTGAAGAGAAAGCACTGACTCATTCATATGTATAGCTAATTTCAATTATTAACCAAAACTTGTGTCATGACATGAGGCATAAAGCCATCTGCTAAAAAAGCACCTTATTGTTTTTCATCGATTATTACATATGGACAGTTCTGCCCTCACTTTTCATAAAAAAGTTCTGATAAATTTTTTCTACCACACATTTTTGAGGCTGCAGGTGAAAAGGATACACTTTGGCAACCACATGGAAAAATTCACTGTAAAAAAATGTGAATTTCAGTACTTTTTGTATGTAAGGAGTTTATAAACAATTTGTATGTAAAGAAAACTTGTTTATTCATTTTAATTCTTCTGATGAGAGCCTACCGTGTTATTAATCCCTAAGGAAATGATGTAATTGAGTATGTAATGAGCTCAGTAGTTGGATCCCTTCATAGCCCGAGAGAGAGATTCAAGTGTATAGCAAACATTAAAGGAGTCGGGATGCGTTTTGAGATTTTACTCCAGCGCTTGTTGGTGCTTTGGCAGTGTTGTTCATCAAATGTGTTAGAAGAAAGCGGAGAGGTGAGCTCAGAGCAATTACTGTATCCTGTGTTAAAGGTATTGAAATATATGTATGTATAGCTTTCACTTTACTTATCATTTGCACTGCTTTATTTCAAGTGTATGGGTTTACTTTGGATTTTACATGATACAGTCTAACAACAACATGCAGGGATTTTGCAGGTGCTGCAAACTCGTGAATTTTAAGATGATGTTTTCAAGGTTTGAAAAGTGCTTGGATTTTGGATTAAGTGCTTGAAACTGTATTTGCATTACTTTAATGGGGAATTGCCGTTTGAATATTAGACAGTTTGCTTTTTAAATAATTGAAAAGAATAAATTGGAGAAAGTTTAATAACGTTTTTTTTCCATGTGTACCCTTTGAGAGATCAGTGGGTTGGAGTTTGTTATTCTAATAAGCATTAGCGTGAAAGCTGTAAATGCAAAAAAGATCAAGCAGCCAGGAGAGTTTTAGCTCCTTCCTACAGTCAAAAATGGAAGCAAATGATTGCATAACCAATAATCAATCACAGTGTTTATTTAAAGAACTTTTAAATAACATTTTAGATATAATTAATGACCAAAATTCTCATGGACATATCCATCTGATGTCTGATATCTATTAGTTGAAATCAGGTAAGACCGCAACACAAATAAAATTTCTAGGATTATCCGCTTCCTATCTTTCCATTTCCGTAGACTAATGAGAGTGCTGGTTGGAAGGCCCTCTCCTTCATCATCTTCAGCATTCCTAACAGTGAACTGCAAACTCAGCAGGCTGTGGGGCCTAAATTAAGCCACCATGGCCTTAACAGCAGTGCAACTGCATTGTCTGAACTGTAGAGAGGTTACATGAATAATGTCATTTTGTTCTAAGAATTGGAAGCCAAAATAATTTAAGAGAGTTTGATCTGTTTTAAGGATTTTTACCAGTAAATGTGGATTTAAGACAATTTTGGACTTTTTACGGCCCATTGATGTCCTCTTGTAGCACAGTGACATCAAGCTTTGAGTAATAATGAAGTGAAACATTAATTTTGATTATGTATGCTGGGAAATCCTTACCGTTCTTAAAATGTAGTTGAATATGACTTGAATATGACAAAATGAAGAGAAAAGCTGAACCTGTTGTTGGTGTGTGTTCTTGTCTGTGAAGGAGCCGAGTAGCTTCGGTGGTCAGAGTGTGACTTGCGTAAGGAAACAGCTCCTTATTATTATTTAGTCCCGCTGCAGGCAAAGAGTGTTCCACAAAAATCTGGAGCTGGTTAAAAATACAAAGGATTTGTTTTAAAGTTTACAGGTTTGGTAAGTTTGTGACAGTTCAAAGAAAAACAGGCTGCAGCTCTAATGGCGGTTGGATGAATGAAGGAAAACTCCTGTAATGATTATAACTTTTCAAACTAGCAGTAAAAGTTTACCTACTCTACAGCACAATGTCTTTTTCACCTCGTCCTTGTAAAGCCTGGAGCAGTAATTGTCCTTATTTGATATGTGAATTGGCAGCAGTAATGTGATTTCTCCTCCTCAGGTTATTGTGTTTTACTGAGAATCTGCCAGACAGGAAAGGTCACAGTGTTGCATCAGTACACTGTATGCTGATAGCAATGCACACATCTTTTCAGAGTTTCTATACATTTCAAATTGCGAAGATGTTTAAACTTTTAGTGAAGAGGCTCTGTGGCGCTAATAGGTTGTCAATAGTTGCTTAGCAACAGGAGCCGGTAGCAGCCTGCCAGGATATATGGCTGCAGAGCTGAACTGTAACACAGTTAGCTGGATAATTCACTTACTGACCTGCACGCTGATGTTTCCTTCTGTGTGTGTCCGTGACAGTGGAGACGTTACAGACACTGGTGAATGGCAGCCTGGGCGGGGCCATGGCCAGCGTCCAGGAGGGAGGAGGAGGTGGTGCGGGGCCGGTGTGTTTGCCCCGCAGGGCTGAGACCTTCGGAGGCTTCGACAGTCACCAGATGCACAGCAGTAAGAGTAAGTGTGCTGCTCTGAACATTTGTTGGTGTCTTTTTTCCTTTACGTTTTATTTTCTTCTTCTTCTTCTTTTTTTTTAAACATTGTGCAATCCAGTGCAGGGAAACATGCTGAACCCCCACCTGCTTGTCAAGATAACTGCACCGACTTGGTGACTGGACTGCAAATGTGTAACAACACTGCTGAAAGCCAAAGCACAGTTTTTAAAAGTGGAATATTTCATTTTTCATCTTGAAACGGGGTTTTGGTGGTCATACCCACCTCTCCCCACAATTCCCCTGTTCAGAGCAGTTAGATAAAACATTTCAGACGGAGGCTTGGACAGCAGAGCTGGAGCTTCCTGAGGGAAAGGTGGCCTGGGGCGATATCTCTGAACTGGTGGCTTGCAAGCTGATAGTGTCGAATCCATTGAACCACAAGAGCTCTAAGAGGTCCAGATCTCTACATCGCCAGCATACCTGGAAAACTACAGCTAAACAATGATATTTTTGTCTAAGGGGGATGTCTCTTAAACACTATTGCAGCCTTGATTTATTTAAATAAGCAAACATAATGAAATATAGAGACTAATGTAAGGGAATATAACAGATAGATAAATGTGTTGACTGTTAATTATATTTTAAAGTAAATATAGACTTTACACAAGTCTCTGTAGGTGGAGAAGGAAGAAAATGTAAATAAAAGAATAGCAGTGAAACTAAAAGAATGTAAAAGAAAAAGGCAGAACATAATTCATAATAAATAATAAATCAGATGAGATGTCAGATTCAACATAAACACAACATGAATGTAGGTCAGCAGAAAATCTTTTGATTCCTTCCCGAGTTTCTGCATGTGAGAGCCACGTATTTTATTGACATAGCAAACCCGGCTGTAACCTTCACAGGAGTCACTTGTTGACAATATAAAACCTGTAATACTTTGGATTTTTTTTGGTGGTGGGGGAGGGGGGGGGGGTTTACAAAAGCTCTCCTGCAGACTGTTTGAGAGGTTGCATATCTGAATGGCCTGCTCTGCTGCACTGATCTGTCAGACTTTGCTTTTCACTGAAATGTAGTGAGAATTTCTCATTTTCCATACATCCAAAGAAATGATGGCCGCCAAGGAAGTCGACTCTGTGTCAAAAGCATGAATTATATCTACGAGTCCCCCAATTTTAAGTGTCATTTCTGTTTTTTAAAATCATAGAATTTCACTATCACACAAAATTGCACAGGATCTCTCTCTAATGGTAAACGAAGGACTTTTATTAACCTTGTCGGAAACGACAGGGTGCAGAGAAAAAGTGTTTCCTTGCAGGGAGGGGTTGATCAGCTTGAGGACTTGGTTGATATTAATATTAGTCATTATATCACCTCACATTATTTCAGTATGAACATCAAACAAATTCTTAATTTGTACACCACGTCTACCAACTCTGTTTAAGTTACAAATCTACACACTGCTTTTTTCCTTTGATAAAAGCTAAAGCTGTGGTGTTCATTTAGCTAATTTTGTTCCTCTTCTGGGGCCTGATTAGAAGCCGGAAGGAAAATTGGTCAAAATGCAGACTGCATAAGTTAATAGACTTTCAGCATCACAGCTCTGTCATTAAGATGTGGAGATTTGACTATAATTGCAGTGTATTTATTTAATGAAATCCATGTGTCATTTAGATGCCATTGTTTTTCAGCTGCAGCCCTGGTGGTGTTAAATGACAAATGTGGGAAAAACAACCCAGCAAAACTACAAAATTGGTAAAAATGGATCTGAAGAGGTTGATTTTTCCAACCTGTAGTTACTCACTAAGTCTCCATCCTGCTTCATAAAACACGAATTTTGCTTTTCAGTTACATATTTGTGCTCATATTCGCCACCAAAACTTTTCACCAAGAAGAAAGAGTTTGCATTTAATCACCCACATTCTGATAAGTAACCATACTTCAGGCTGGGCCATTGTAATCAAGAGGTTGTTATTTCCATCTGCAGTAGTTTAGATTTGGCGGTTTGGCTCTGTTCTGGGACGTTCCCGCTCTTCCGTGTGCACATATGTGGAAGGAAAGGCAACATGAGCTGCCATAACAGAACAGCCATTAATGACAGACATTGTCACCGATGAAGTTTTAGCATTAAAAGAGGATCTGGGGTGGTGGTGGGGGTTGCAAAGCAGCCTGCAGATGTGCCACAGCTGTGGAGAGGCTTAAGGTCCTGGCATGATTTGGTGCTGGTAGTCTGTAGCTGCTGTCACCAGGAGGCAATGTCAAAAATATGTGGATTACCTGGAATGCTTCATATGTGCTCTCTGTGCTCTCACTGATACTTCAAAGAAAATAAACTGTTCATTGACATGACATCTGACCACTGCAGTGTTTCGGATCTTTTTCTGTGTGTTTTCTTTCTTTGTGGTGAACTTGTGATCTGCAGTGCTTTCCTTTCCTGTTCACCCTAGCTGTTTTTGGTTTGGTTTTTCCCCCAGCATTTGACTTTGACTGAGCAGAGCAGCTTACTGTTGTTGGGTTTGTTTGTTTTTTGTTTTTTTTGAGGACATAGCCTGTTGTTTTGGTTGAATTCCAGTCACATTTGTCTTTTTTCATATTCTAGCTCTTAGAGTTCTCCTTTTGTCTTGCAGCACTCTTCTTGATCACATCTTTTTTTCCTGTGGTTTCTCTTTATATCAGGTGGAGACAGAGATGAGAGTGAGGATATGGCGGGAGACCTGCGCAGGACTGAGTCCGACAGCGTTTTAAAGAAGGTCTGCATCCCAGCAGCCAGTTATTCTCCTTGACTCTGAAGCCAATGTGCCACTACACGTCACAGAGAACCTGAGGGCATGTGTGGGGGTGCATTTGTCCTCCAACACTAACAATACCATTAAGATGAATTTAACTGCTTCTCTCCCTCCAATGAATTAGCCTCTTGACTCTTCCTCCCAGGTCCCGTTGCTAATGGCGACCATCAGTTGTGTAGGATTCAATAGATGATGGAAATGAATGGAGTGCCTTTAGGTGCTGCTATTGTAGCTCTGCACTGGATGCCAGCCTTTGTAGTCATTTATACTGCATATACCAGCAGCTGGACTGCACATTATTGTGTCTTGAATCTTTTAGCAGAGACAGGCTACAGTAAACGTAATGTGCTGTTTAATAAAGAAAAAGGAGCCAGCTATTCACCAGGCCATTCCTTGTAAATGCTGCTCTCTGAAAACAGAAGAGAAGCATTTAATTTTTCTTAACATTTCACCCCAGGCATGGTGCCAAAGTTCAAAGAGAGTTCAGCAGTAAAAGGACGGTGTTCAGAAGTCCGAGTCATCATTAAAAAATACAATGCAGAGTTAATTCCAGCCTTCCATCTTCTATTGTATTCACGTTGGTCTGTGCCGTTCTTTTGTAAACTGAAAATACCTTTTTAGAACCGTTCGTCTCGTCCCCATTTAAAATAAAGCGGCACGACACTAAATCCGTCATACATAATCATAGCCAGATACAATTAGACTTCACAGCACACCCACATGTGCAACTTTAATCACATTCGCTCAGTGATATATACAGTATACAGGCCCACATACGCATACTGTACACAAGAGCAGATGTTTGCATGCGAGTATATTATTGTGTTTTAGCTTACTCAGTGTGTCTTAATGTTTGTGTGCAGGGAGGAAACGCCAACCTGCTGCAGCTGCTGAAGAGGAACAGTGAGGTAACACTGACTTCCTGTGTCTAATTCAGTTCAAGTCGCTGTTTACATAGAAACTGCCAAAACCCTGTGTCAACGGCATTGTTACCGGCATTAATCAGCGTCTTGTCTCAAACAGCAGTAAAGCTCAAGTTCAGCCAGAATGCGTCGGCCCAGTTTGAAATCTGAAAGTCTTCCACAAACCTTTAACCACAGCACTGATCATGACTCAGAACTGTGATGGACTGTTTCCTCCTTTTGGTTTTGATCGACTCGTTTAATTATTATTATTCACTTGTTGAGGTTGATTTTTCGCTAACAGCTTTCCTTTTGCCACCTATCAAACACTTTTATACTCCATCAATAACAACATATAAATTTTTTTTAGAAATTCAAATTTGAAATTGTTTTTACTTAATCTAAACGACCCTGCTGCCCACATTTAGGGATTTACTGCTGTTTTTGTAAAAAGCTCCGCTAAGTAATAAATAACAAAATAGCTCAAAGTGAAAGTGAGCATGTGCCAAGCAAAGTAAGCTGTCATTTAATAAAAGTAGGAAGAGTTTTAAGTGAAAATTGTTATTAAAATGCACAATAATCAGAAGCAGCTCGTGCAGCGTAGCGCTGTAAAATAACAGGAAGAAATAAGGCTTAACTAATAAATATGATATTTTTGCAGCATCAAAGAGCAATAAGCAGTTAATACAAGACTAAAAGTCTAAAACCATGTTAGTGGGTCGGTGAAGTTGTTTGCGTTTCATGTTGCTAACGCTGCACGCGATATAAAACCATAAATGGTGCAGAGCTTAGGCTACATGACTTTTGCAGCTTTGGGAGCATTTTCAACTGTAGGAACAACAGGAAATCAGAACATTTGATCTGGAAGAGATACATCGTTGGAAATCTGTGCAAAAATCACTGTGAATAATTTTTAAGCTGATATCCAGCCCTGAGCTGTTTTGCAAAATGGCAAAATGGGTATTTAGAACCTTTTATTTGAATAAGTCATAAACTTATTTAAGTATAATAAAACATTAACCATAAAAATATGCCCAAAGTAGTTCTAATTATTTTATTTCTTTAATTTTTCTTCCTAAAAGTATTTTATTTAAAAAAGTAAAATTACTCCTTAGTCAGAATAGCCAGTCTTTAGCAAAGAAAAACAAGGGTTAGAATAAGTCCAAGGGGGAAACGAGTTAAGGAGGCTTTCCATGGCCTCCCTTTGTACATGCCTCTGTCTGCAGATATGGGTCCTATTCTGGTGTATTGATGCCTTTGGCTCCTTGTCATATTCGTTGAGCTATTCCTGAACATTTTTTTGCAGTGAAGCAGGGAACATTTTCCTGGTAGTTTGTGTGCTTTTGATAATATGAGTGTGCTTAGTCAGTCATGATGTGTAGGTCAGTGAATTAAAGCAGCATTTACAATAATGCAAGACTTAACGATTCAAAGAAGATCAACATTTGTAACTTCATCTGTCAGTGGTTTTATTATCGTGGCTGCAAAGTGTGATTTTTAAAGCAATACTTGGTTTGTGGAGCTATAAACAACTTTAAGTTTAGTAAAATCAGTTTTTTATTATTATATTAAAATATTCTGTGTGAACGCAGGAAAGGTCAGATCTCTGTAAAGTTAAATCAGCATATTGTTATAAATTGATATTGTATAAAACACCGCTACCGATAATGGTGAGTTTTAACATGTCAAGTGGAGCAGTAAGGAAGGCAACATCAAAGAGCTTTGTCCTTGCAGCCGAAGTGGATTTTTCTCCTGGATAACAAGAACACAGCCGGAGGTTTGAGGTTATACTCACTGCTCTCTCTTTTTCAACAGCAGGTCCTCCACAGTGTCTCCAACCTGCATCTTCTGCTAAGCACTCTGCAGGTATGATGGTTTCTAAGCATGACAATACATCCAGCGCTCCAGATCAGAACTGACATGATGCAAGTCTGTGAAGCTTTCCAATGAAAAGAACAGAAAAAAGACCTCCATCCACACAGAGCCAGTGCAGAATACCCCACAATCCACAGGATGGGTATGTCTAACCTAATCTCTGTGGCTCTGTCTAACACAGGCAGTGGTAGTCCAGCAGGACAGTTTCATAGAGGACCAGCGGCAGGCCCTGAGTGAGCGCTCGTCCTCTTGCACATCGTTATCACGACCGTCCTCCCGGCCCAGCTCGCTGATCGAACAGGAGAAGCAGCGCAGCCTGGAGAAGCAGCGGCAGGAGTTGGCATCCCTGCAGAGACAACAGGCAGCTCATGCTGAGGAGAAGAGGAGAAGAGAGAAGGAGTGGGAGCTCAGGGAAAAGCAGCTCGCTGAGAGGGAGGCACAGGTGCACGCACAGGTAACTATGCATCATCTTCCACTAGCCCTGTTTATTATTAATAGTTTCAGGGCAGCTATAATTCTGACAGTAACCCCCCAGGATGGTTTCATGCTGCAGTGTTTCACCTCATGCAGTGTTTTATCTGATAAATTACAATGCGTACTTGTGCAGGGCATTAAAGTCTTCTGTGGTGCTTTAAAGAGATGGTGCACTGCCTTCAAATATAGCTTTCACTGGCAAGCTTGAAACGCTGAAAGAAAAGTTGCAGGGTCAAATTTCATCTGACAAGGCTGCAAAGGCGTGGTAGTAGATTCACCTCCACGGCTGGCTGAAACGTCGCACTAACTAAAGGCTGAACAACATGCAGTAAACATTCTCTCTGTTTGTGAATTAGGGCAGCTGTGGCTCAGGAGGTAAAGCAAACCATGTAGTAGGTTGGTGGTTTGATTTCTGGTAGTGACTGCACCTTGGATGATATGAGCAGTATATCCTTGCATCTGTCGAGTGGGTCATTGTTTGTTTAAATGAATTTCACACTCATTATCACCAGCGCGTGTGATTCCCTGCAGTGTGTCCCCAAAGTTTGAATACTTAAACGATAATAAGTTGATTGTGGGCTAAAATCAACAAGTTAAATGCAGTTGTGATCAGCTTCATAATGCACAGCAGGCAGCAGCACCTGTGGAGTTATGAAGTTGATTTAATATATGAGGAGACAATAAATTATTCAGTCAGCATTGGTAAAGTCTAGACTTCAGGTTTTTTTTTTTTCCAGCTTATTTTTTCTTGATGGGGAAACGTGCATTAAGGAGAGGTTGAGACACTGAATGTGATCACAATATTAAATCAGGCAGTCATTAGCTTTTATTCATTCAGGCTCAGTTATTGCAGGTTTCCACTAAAGGAAAGGAGCTGAAAACATACGATGTGACGCTTCACGTGTCTGTCAGTTCAATAAATCAATCTACACTTGTATCAACCGCTGCAGGAGGAGGAAATCCTGAAGCGGCAGAAGGACCTGGAGGAGGAGAAGCAGGAGCTGCAGAACAAGAAGGAGGAGTACCAGAAGGACCTGGAGAGACTGAGAGATGCCCAGAGGAAGCTGGAGAGGGACAGGGAGGCTATGCAGCGGCACCTCAACAAGATGGAGGACCTGCGTCTAGCTGAGGTGAGCAGGGACACTCTGAAAATCATAATAATGATAACACGATCTGCTGATCCCTGCAGGGAAATCGCCTCTTCTGTCGCCCCTCAGCTGCAGAGGAACACGGTGTGAGCCTGGAGGGATTCATTTTTTGCGCTCAATGACACTCCAGCCTGGTTGATGTTTATGGATGCTTACAGCAGAGGCTTGAACTTGGGTCCTCTTAAAAGTGGATTTAAAAAAGCTCTTGGCCACATTTTAACTGGCGAGCGTCGCTGCAACACAAACCAAACAGCACTGTTATGTTTCTCCAAAAAATCTAAATATGATCATTTTCCAAAACTGAGCTCTTCTAGAAACAGTCGTGCTCATCATTTAGCAAAAAGCCTTTCATGCATATTCACATACAGATGTAGACCGCAGCTGTTCATCTTCCTAAGCGCCTCTTGTTCCTTCCTTTCCAGAGGACTCCCTCTACAACGTCTGATGAGTTCGCTGGCAGCTCCCAGTCTCTGGAGCTGGACCCGCTGGAGTTCTCCTCCTCCTCTTCCTCCTCTCTGCCGAGGCTGCAGCCCCAGCGGTCCAAGCCCAAAGGGAAAGGCCTCAATCCCTTTACCTCATCCTCCACGAACCTCAAGGGCAGCGAAGGCAACAACCAGATCTCAAAGAGCCTCCTGCAGCTAGCCAAGAACAAGGGCAAAGATGGGAAGGAGAAGGAGAAGAAGAAGAAAAAGGCCAAAGGGGGGAGCGCACAGTCAGCAGGTATAAGATGATAAACTGGCTGGATCGAGTCGAATAGTTCAGTGTTTCACAGTGAGTCAGCAGGTTGGAGTGGAGTGCTTTTTGTCAAGGATGTACTGTGTTTAGTTATTATTGAAAAGGAAACATTATTGGTAGACATGTGGATGGATGGATAATGGAAGAAGAAGGAAGGATATGTCAGGTCTACAGCTGAGTACAAAGTTTCAAGGTAGTTTTTTGTTTCCTGCCACAGTGCATCATCTGTCACGACCAGCCAAAAAAATTAGTGTTCTTTATGACTAACGTAGAAAAAAATAATTATTTTTTTTGACCTTATAAAGTTAGAATTTTTTCAGATATTCTTTTAGTTTCTGCTAAACTGCAGCACTTCAGAGAAACCACCACGGAAATGATTGGAGACAAAATCCAAACTGTTTATTCTGTTTAAATGTATGCTCTTAAGTATCTAATCTGAAGCCAAGTCGGAGTTAGACGTATGAAAGGAGAATGTTTCAAAGTTTTACCTTTTTTTTTTTTTTTGTGCAAAATTCAATCTTTGTGTTACTATCCCACCACGACAGCTCAGTTTGATGACACTGCCTCAGGAAACAGAATGAAATGTAAACTAAAAAGAAGATATTTTAGGAGAGAGCCGCTTGAGTTGATATATGCACCTGGCTAACGTTGGAATATACATTACAAACACGAAGACTAGATTTTATCTTTTGTTTTCCCCTATTGGAAGAACATGAAGAGGGAGTTGCCTGTTTTCCTACTGCCCAGTTTACATGCATGATGGTGTTTCTAGTCTAACTGCATTAGAAGTACAAACAGAATAAAAAGGCTCCATATAAATACCTCAGCCAGAAAGAAACGGGTCCAGAATTATTTACATTTGCATTGGATTCAGAGTGGAGGAATATTCCGTTTCCTAATCCAATTAAAGAAAATTTGAGCATTTTTCCTGCACAAGTCCACCGTGTTGATGTACATATGCGGTGACGTATGCTTCTGCCCTTTGTAGAAATGTCTGCTTCTGATCTGAACAGCTCCTTTTTGAATTTTTTAAAATGCTTAATGAATAAATAACACTTAAAAAGAAAACCCACCTTTAGAGAGCTGATCAGTGATTAGAAATGCATTGTGCATCCCTGCATGTAAACACTATATTGCACCATATTAAACCACTTTCTGTGTCAGCTGTTGGCCTGATATGTTCTGTCACAATGAAATTGATCAGAATGATCTGAAGCCAATCTTGTTTTAAAGCAGACTTGAAAAAACCGTGAGCTCAGTGAGAAGCAGACGTGTAATTTTGGTCACATGCTCAGATCTGCTCAGGCTGTCACGAGGTCTCACATGGAGCTTAAATTTGTTACAATATTAAATTAGTCCCAAAAGTAAATTATTCAACTGTCCTACATTTGAACACTGTTAGAAGTGAGCTTATGTCTGACACAGAAGAACTACACTTGTTATAAAACACATGAACTACATGTAGATGTGAACTGATGGTTCTGAAATGAGCAGTGAGCCAGCATAAGGCCACACAGTTGGGACTCCCTGTTGGTAACAACATATCTTTAGGAGTTTATTTTGTGTTTGCATTAAAGTGCCCAAAGGGGAATGCTAATATCCTACCCAGCTGTGACTGCAGCAGTGTGTTTGCTGTGTGTTGTGGGTCTCTTGATGGCAGCAGAGTTCAAAAAGAGATACTATAGTGTTGAATTTAGACTATGCAGTTAAGCTTCATTATACAACTCCACCGGTAACCATTTTCAGTACGTGTTACTAAGAGCTTAAACAGAAGCTACAGTGTCATTGATGACAACCACCACCCTTGAGTAATGAATCGTTTATGTTTAAATTAGCAGCAAATAAACATCAGTGACAAAAATGGTGTCCACTAAACCATTTCAGATCTTCTTTGGGTGTAATTCCATTTCAGCGTCACCATTTTCTCTTGCATTTTCCCCACTATAATTTCCTGGATGGCTCAGAAAGATTAGAGGAAATGCTATAGAATTTTGAACATTTTCACTTGTGTTACTTCCATAACAGCTTAGAGGCATAAAGGCTTAATAAAGCCTGGACTTTATTCTTGGTCTTTTTCTCTGTGTTCAGTTCCAACACAAATTTGCCAGTTGCTGCTTCTGGGCTAATCACTGTAAATGTAAAGGCTGCTGGTGCTGGACAGTACTCACCCTGAGGCACACAGGCACACCCTGTGTTGCAGGAACTCTGACCTCCCTGGTTCATGCAGTGTGGACACTATTCAGACAAGTGTTCTTGCAGCAGTGATACGGGCAACTCTGAATTATTTGGAGCTCATATTTCAATTTCTGTGCAAAATTTGGTGACACTATGTTACAAAAGCCTTAACTCAGATTCTCTCGTAGACTGTGGTCTCTCTTTTGGCCTCCAGCAATGGAAAATGGAGGACAAGCCTATTGTCCTTGAAGAAAAACAAGCTGGGAGTTTCTGCAAATATGTTGCTGTTACTAAATTTCAGCCATGAGTTGCATTTTGGAAGCATTTAGTTCTCGTTTTGGCATTTAGAGAATATTTGTGGGTTGCAAAATCCTGATGTGTATAAGGTGAAACGTCACCGGCAACTGATCAGAAATCAAAATCCTGTGTTTTCGGGGTGATGCTGACTCCTGTTCTCCTCTTCACAGACTCCCAGCCCCTTCCAGAGCCGCCTCTGGATGGAGAGATTTTTTTCTGCTGAGACAAGTGGCTCTCCTCCTCCTCCTCCTCCTCCTCCTCATCATTACCATGAACCCATCAAACCACTCTGACGGTGGAATGTGCTGCCAAGTAGTAACACATTCACCTGCGCACACAGGCTTTTTGAATCACCTTGAAAAGGCTTTTAGTTAATTTTCCATGTCATAACATAGAGCTGTTTAACATTACATGGAAGAAGATACATTTTAAAATCAAATACCACAGCTTTTAGTTTGTTGGGAATTAGGATATATTAGGCTCTGCTGTGGTGTGCGTTTAGGATTCAGTTCAGTAGCTAAAGTGGGAAGGATGGACTGGCTGTGCACTTTTTCGTTATTCTATGTCCAAAATTCATCTTTTCCTTTTCCAAATAAATGGTTCGAATTTCTTCATTTTGAAAAATCAGACATCTGTGACAGCTCAGTATCACGCTGAAAGCGTTTCACAGCGAATTGCCTTTCAGGCTCTTCCAAGTCTGTCAGGGGCTCGTGTGTTACGGCTGCCTTTTTTCCTAGAGCCCCGCACCAGCAGGCTGTGATGTTAATTTACAGAAGCAGGGCCTTTTCCATGCGACTTTAACCACACGTTCAAGGACACAGACAAATCCAAATGCCACTGTGAATGTCAGCGAGCTCCCTGTGGCACTGGAAACTCCTCACACCTAATCATATTCATTGACAGCTAATTGATGACTGAACCCACGGGGGGGGAACTTACGGGTCCTAGCAACATTTCTTAATCAGAGAGAGTCCAAAGCCGTTTCAGTGCTTCAGTCGCAGTGAATCATAGCCTGGCGTTCGCGTCGAGTGTTCAAAAAGCAGATGCGATTAGATCCGCCGAGTCTGTCCCCAGTTTGCAAGCAAAAGGGAATTGGCTAACTTGTGTAATCCTTAATGATGACTTCATGCCATCAATCATGTTCCTTAATGAGGTTTTAATTTATTTGAATTATGGCTATCTCCAATTTGGAGTGAAGCTCTTCAGATGTGTATTTTCTTAGACGCTCAGTAATGAAAGGATTGAGAGTTATCTCTCTCTGTCTAATGGCTCAATTCATATCCTTTAGTGTGTTTTAGAGTCTTGGATGGATATTGGCTCGATTGTCGTTTCATCTGCCTGTCAATGGGCTTTTATGCAGCCCTCATCTTTCATCTGAGCGCCGACAAGCAGGGCTTTCCTTCGTTTTTTTAATTGCATGTAACTCTTCAGGTAGCATACTAATGGTTTCTGTGTGTTAAAGAGATCAACTCTCTCTTTCGCCTCCTTTCAGTTCCCATAATAGATTCTGCAGATGCACACAGCTGCTGGTCGTAGGAACGGAGGCCATTAATTTACGGACAAAGCAACCGCTTAGAGGGAATGAGAGTGGACATTAGCTACAAATATGTTCTGTTGTTGTTTCGTGACTAAACCGACTCAGCAGGTAGCTCGTGAGTCTCTGATCATTTCAGGATTAGTCAACACTCATCAGTGTTTTTGAGCACTTTCTCCTAAAAATGTTAACACGTTTATTTTTAATCAGTGTGAGATACGAGGAAATATGATTTCTTTTTTTTTAATCAAGGGCAAAATGATCCAAAGACGGTTAAAGTGTTTAAGTAGATTAAATAAGGGGCTGTGAGCTTTTATGGAGTTTTTCAAAGATGACCCGTCTTAATATTTAAGACCTGCGAAGCTCACGCTGTGGGCAGGACTACCTGCGGGACAGGTAGGAAGGACAAAGAGACGTTTAAAAAGGATCCTCTTCCCATGAAAGGCAGAGCAGCATTGCCGAACTGCTTCCTTGCTGCCTCTTTTTCTCACGTTTAAGTGCTTGTTTGTTAACTCGCTGTCTTGTGTTGAGGATTTGACTTCACGTCCAGGCTGGTTTATTATAGTGTGTCTTGTAAGAGGCTTATGCGGCCTGCCAATTAGTTGCTTCATGTCTTTTGTTTATGGCTTTGGTGTAATCCTGTCAAAGAAACGGAGAGGGGTAGACTTTTGGTGTTGCTTGAAGGTGTGTTTTGACCACTAGGGAGCACTGCACCTATAACTAAATAATTTCCCTCCCTCACACAACAGCAACAACCAGAAAGTATGAAACTGTTTAGTTTTTTGTTTTGTTTTTTTTCCCCTGTGACTCCTGCTGTGAGAAATTGATGTATTTTTTTCTCAGCAGGTCAGAGATAATGTGATGAGCGTGGGCTCTCACACTCTGCGACATTTTTCCCCACGGCATTTGTAATTGACTGCAGAAACAAATAAGTTGTCAGAGATTGTAATTGGTTATTCAGTGTAACCAGTCAGCAGCAGCTTTAATGTGGGGGGAATAAAAAGGTTGGAGGAAGCGACTGGGCAGAACCACAGACCTCTGTAAGGGACAATCAGCAGACACAAGTCGGGAAAATGAACTCCCTCACCAGTGATGATGATAAGCCTGTCCGAGAGACGAGTGTGTCCATTAGGTGAACCCTGCGTAGCCTTAAATCTTAATGATAAAATGCACTAGAGTAGAACCCAGCGTCTTCTCAGGAGAGAGGAGAGCTTTTATACCTCTGCTTTGAAAGGAAGGAAATGTTTGTACTATTCAACTGGTACACAGTTGTTTCGTTCTCAGCAATGTAAAAAAAAAAAGAAAAAGAAGAAAAAAAAGGGCAAATGTGTAAATATGATTTATGTATAATACAAATTACTTGTAAAAAATAATTGACTTGTGATTTATTGAAGCATTTTGTAAGAATGTTTTATTTATGTTTTATTCTCACCAACAAGGTGATAAACAATGTAAAGGTGTATTTCTCTCATAATAAAAAAATACCACAATTGACATCCTGAGTGTTTGTGGGTTATTTTTTTTTACAGCTATTCTTTTTTTGTTCTGTCTTGGTCAAGCTTCAGTTTGTATACACTGTAACCAACATGAAAGAATTGTGACAAAATAGGATGTCTGCTAATCAACCAATAGGAATGTAATGTACAGCCAGTGTTGGGGAGTAACTGAATACATGTACCGCATTACGTATTTAAAATACAAAATATGAGTAACTGTAATTTTACAGTTACTGTTTAAAAGGGTGGTATTCAGAGTACACCCTGAATAACGACTCCTTTCTCACTCTAGCGATGGACATCGTTTACAGATGATCTCATCTTTTATTCACTATGACCTGAAACTACTGATTGAGGACAAAATCATCAGAAACTTGGTTACAGAGGTCACAAGAGTGAGGAGGTCTGGTTTTCTGTTTTACTATTACAAGTGTTTTTGAAACCAGGAGACCCAGAGACTACACCCATCTTGTATACTGTTTCTCCTGGTTTCTGTACTTAAAAAATAAATAAATAAATCAAACTAGATGTAGCAAAGAAGAAAAATCTAGTTCAATTTTGGCAGCAGATACTTGCTTGTATATTTGTCCTCCAGCTGTTGTTGTGATCGAACCATGGGGAATGCAGAGAAGTAACAGTGGTGCATCTTTGCCTTCATTCTGCAGATTCTACAAGAGGCTGCAAGAAAAAGAAAACAAAAAAGTTTATGCGTGTCACATAGCGTGACTTGTAGTGAACTTACAAGACTGCTGATGTTACAGTTCGAGCCCAATGGAAACAGATGGTTTGAACAGCAGAATGGTGGGGCGTCTGAGAGGACCATATCAAGGTCCTCCCTTTTTGACTTGATACAGAACGAAGACTTGGACATTTTTTTTTTAAAACTACAACTTTCTGAAAGTTCTCAGCTTTTTGTAAAAAGAAAAAGAAAAAAGACATCACTGCAGTTCTTGAGAGAACAGTATGTTTTTGTGCCTTCAGGGGGAAGATTTTCAAATTAGTTTCTGCCCCAATAACTTATTAGATTTGCTGACTTATTTGTCCTCAACATTTTTTCTAATTATTATTTTACCAACGAACGATACTCACAGAATTTAAAATGCACCACTTTCATTATTTAGCAGGATTTCCAAAAGTAAATTAATTTGTTTTAACAGAACATTATATTGTTAAGTGTAATACACGCCTTCGGAGTGGGAGTCGCAAGTTCGTATCCAGTAAGGGTCCTAGGCTAGACACATGCTAACCAAGCCTACTGGAATTGGAATATGGAACGGAATGGAATTTTCGATACCCAACATTCACAAACAACAACAACAACAACTGGGATCTTCCCTTCTTCCGCATGGAAGAAGGGACTGATCTCACAGCTAGAGACTGACGACACATGCTACGGCAAGGAGGAGCCGGACGACAGGTCAGGGGGACGATATCATCACCCCCACCTGAGTTTGGGTACCAAGTGTGATGAAGAAAGGTTTGAAAAATTAAGTTGTTTCAAAGTACAGTGCTCAGGTTTCGACTCACTGCTGTCTCAAACTCCAGTCTCTGTTGCAACACACCTGAATAAAATTAGTAAGTCATTAGCAAGACTCAGTAGAACTGAGTTGACAATTTGATTCATGTTACAGCAGCTCATAAGTGAATGAACACGATGCAATAAAAGTACTTTTAGAACAAAATTTTTCCAAACACATTTTACGTGAGTAGGGTTAGGGGTTGCCACTTCAGCAGGCAGTCAAGTTCTATACTCTTGCTACTAATTTTATGCGGGTATGTTGGCACAGGGACACATGGAAAAGTTTCAGGACACCGGCCCTCAAGTACTGGAGTTTGACACCCCTGTTCTAAATCAAACTACATTAAACGATGTTGTAAAAGCAAAAACCATCAACATTATATCAACGTAAGGGATACAGAAAATCATTTTGGGAAGCTTGCAAACGTGCATGTTTATGGTATGATAGGGTACTTATTGGTATCACAGCTTCATCTTTAAGACACAAGAGGACCTGACATAATTAAGGTAAGCTTTGTCTGCAGCTACTGTGGTGTTAAAAAGTACAGAATGGCTTAGGCCAGGGGTGGGCAATTCAAGGCCCCGAGGGCCGGTGTCCTGCAGGTTTTAGATCTCACCTTGGGTCAACACACCTGAATCACATGATTAGTTCGTTACCAGGCCTCTGGAGAACTTCAGGACATGTTGTGGAGCTAATTTAGCCATTTAAATCAGCTGTATTGGTTCAAGGACACATCTAAAACCTGCAGGGACACCGGCCCTCGAGGCCTGGAATTGCCCACCCCTGGCTTAGGCCATGTACAGAGTTTATACAGTAGAAGTTCTGCAAGGATAATGCTCAGGTTTTCCAGAGAACTGGTTGGTCAGTAACTGGACGTTTTGTATCATGGTGATGTAACCCGCTAAAAAATTAAGCCACCTTCATAACACTGAAAACATGGATTCAAACCTGAGGTGACTATGCTAAGCCCCCCGTCTTGCTTCATGCTAAAGACCTCTGGCCTACCTGCACGACCGAGCACACTCACTGGATCTGCTGCCATTAGGAAGGTGGCTGTTCGCACATTTCCAACCCTCAGGCTGTGTCATCTCGTAATAAATAAGTGTGAGCGTTTCACATCTGGACACTGTGCCTACCAATAAGAAAGCTCTATTAGACTTTAGAACTAACACATGTACTTATACCACCATGTGTATTAACAGGGTAGTCTGCCATGTAGACCCACACTGTCAGGTTAATAAAACTATAATCCAATTGACCATCCTTGATTTTTGCCCACTTTGCCCAGTACATAATCCAGGCTGGTAATGAGTACAGTTTTTAACTGGGATTCTTTCTCTCCCCTTTATCCTGATCAGTATTCTGGTCCTGACTGCAGCAACTGTGTCTGTTTTGTTTTGGAAGCTTTATCACAATAATGAAAAAAAAAATCATTCTCATTAATCCAATTTTTGTTCCAGGGGCAATTAAATTGCTATCACTAAATTGTGCTAATGCTTTGATTTCCTGTTTCCTGTTGTCGTGCTGCAGTTTGAACACCACCAGAGGAAAATGCTGACAGAGATCTTGATGGATTGACAGCAGTGGTGGCACACGGCAGCACTCGTTTCTCCTGATAAATAAAGAGCCAGCTGCTTTAATCTCTCCATGCTCGGCGGTGTTTTGCCTCTGGAAACCTCGACTGCGGAGGCTTTTTTCCCCCTTAACTGTAGGATCTTGTATGCTATGCCCAGTTCATCACCATGGGATCTTTCTAAATATTTCCCCATTTTGCTCATTCCACATATAAGCTCCAGAGACAAAATACCAGCTGATAAGACTCAGCCGTGTTGGTAGCCTGATAAGGTGCAGTGCAAATTCTGTTTCTTGGTCCAAACCCCTGTAAAAGTTCACCTATCTCTGTTTAGAGCAGCAAACAGCAAGTCTGCCTGTGACGTGCAGTGACAGAAAACCACACAGCCTCGAGTGAAAAGTCGAAGCTCGGAGTCAGAGAGGGAAAGAGGGGAAATAAAAGCATGAATATGTAAATATTCCAAATTAAAAATTTCATCATAGCTTAGAAGAAGAGGAGAACAGCCGTGCTGCTCATGCTGATAACTCTGTGAGGCTTGAGTGACTAACGATAAACTTCATGGTACATTCTCAGATTTATTAATTATCTGCTGCTGATAAGATAAATTTGGCATTGTTGAGCTAATTACCGTCACATGATAACTGTCTAAATCTGTCTAATTGATAGTTTGAAAGCGGCTTTGAATTGAGCTGAACTAGAACGGCCAACGTTATCGAAGCATCACCACTTTCCAATAGACTGATGTGTTACAGCAAAAGGCTTCACTTTCACTGAGAAATAATCTCTCTGCAGCTCGTTCCACTCACTTGGCCTTTGGTCAGTAGAAAATAGAACTCAGAAACACTAATAAGACCATCACCAGCAGATCTTCAGGAGTGGAAGACATACTCATATTTCCTTCATGAGTCAAAGGAGAAATACCACAATATAAAACCACAAACCTGCAGGAACCAATTTTAGCCATTCGGGGCAATAAACGTGCTCTAATCTCTGACATTTTCAAATTAACCCAATCCAGAAGCTCCAGACGTTCCTCTTAGACAGGATTAGCCGTCAGTGCTCTTCGTACTCACTTTACATGCAGTGATGTCACATGTTACCGGACTGAATTGGGGATCCACTGCAAGACTTTTTTTCTGGTTATTTGCGCTAAAAAGTTACATTTCAAGCCAGCACAGGCATCGGCCAATCAAGTCACATTAAGAAAATATCCAGACGGGTTCAGCATCAAAATTTAGGAGACGCTGATCTGTGCACTGTATAATCAACCTGTGGATGTGGAAAAAAAACACACAAAAAAGTCCCAAAACCTAATCACCTATAATCAAGCACTGAAAATATATTTGTGTTTGAATCCTGTTTACATTGAATCATTACTTGTTATTAATCTCTGGCTCTTTTGTATGTCTTTTATCTAGTCTTACTCCCCTTACCCCAAATGGTCGCAGCATATGGCCCCGCCCCTCTCTGAGCCTGGTTCTGCCGGAGGTTTCTTCCTGTTAAAAGGTAGTTTTTCCTTCCCACTGTCGCCAAAGTGCTTGCTCATAGGGGGTCATATGATTGTTGGGTTTTTCTCTATGTATTAATGTAGGGTCTACCTTACAATGTAAAGTGCCTTGAGGTGACTATTGTTGTGAATGCGGTATAAATAAAACTGAATGGAATTGAATTAAATTCTATTAAGGCTTCAAGTTATTCATTGCTGAGAGCACTTTCTCGGTGGCCACTTTCTAGGTGATTTAAAGGTGGGTGCTGTTTAGCATTTTGTTGTGATAAAGGAACAGTTGACAGTTTTATTCCAAGGATGAGTTAGCATCCCATTTAACAACTGCATTCATACTGTCGCCTACGTGCAATCACACAAGCCGTGTCCACAAATCAGAGGGGAAACTTTTACAGGCTACACGACAAATTCAAGAATAAAAACCTACCTTAAG